GCGAGCTTTCATGCCGCCCCGTTTAAGAACAAAAAGGTTGTGTGTCCAACTTGTTTGAGATTTTTGTGCGATAGCGCGAACGAATTGTCACGTTTCTGAAATCGTATGATTAGCACATTAGTGCGGGCGTTTGTAACGGTTTGTACGTATTGGTGCTGTGGTCGGTTAATGTGGAAATATCCTCGCGAGCTTAAATCACGCACATGTGCACCGGGTGTGTCGCGCAATGCAAGCGAAAAAAACTTGTATTTCGTAATCGGTAATTAACAATCTTTAGTGTTAATAGCATTTTTTCGTGTTTGCAAACTATTTTTTGCGAATATTTTAAATATAAGCGGTGTTTTACAAAATAACCGGTTAACCGGTATTTTTTTATAAAAAATTTATATTTTTATTTTTATTTTTATTAGAAAACGCGTTAAAATTATCTACAATTTAAAAAAAAAAACCGGTATTTAACCGAATAACCGGTATTTTAACCGGTTAACCGATATTTTCCAAAATATCAAGAAATCTCCTTCTCTAACCGAATAAAAATTTATTTATTAATGATTATGATTTTTTTTGTAATCGGTTAACCGGTATTTCTTAATATGACGAAATTTCCCACTTCAAGTGCTCTAAAAAAGATAAATAACAAGCACTCATATTATATCGAGCAGGACTGATCCCACTAGAATCAAGTATTAAATCCTCTCAATGCGAGCGGCTTTAGTTTGCCAAAGTGAAGCGTGTGTCGTGTGTGACGGCGTCGGTTTCGGCGGTTTTATGTGTGTGTACGCGTGCGGCATAGCACAGTATTTGTAAGCGGAGCGCCCCGAACTAAGAAGTAAGTTTATATGGCGGTTACATTTCTCAAACATTCGCGCCGGGAATGTGTGAAGACATTAACGCTAAAACTAAATTGGAAAGGAATACTTTGGCGCGCAGCGCTCAGCGCACATATATCCAGTCTTCCATCCGAACTTGAGGACTCAATTTCAAACACATCAAATAATGTTGATAGTAATTTACTTTCGTACCTACACATGAAATACGAGTCTTTAATTCTAACGATTTTATTCAGACATATTAAATTTTAGTAAAAATATAAATTCCATGATTTTGAGATATAAAAAGTGGTATTTTAATCAAGGATGGTCTAGGATGTGACTAAAGTACTTTAGTCACGGGGTGGAAAATAAAAAATAAATAAAAATTAAAAATTAAAAAATTAAATAAAAAATAAAAAAATTAAATAAAGATAAAAAATTCAAATACAAAAACTAAACGTGACTAAACTGCCTCTTAGCGCACTTGATACTTAATATATAATTTTTATATCCATAAATAGCTATAAACTTGTTTTGGTATATTTATAATGCCGACTTTAATGTTTATTACGTCCAAATACTAATAAATCAAGCGATAAATGTAATATTTATAGCTTTTTAGTCCTCATTAATTATCATCGTGCATTGATAAATAATGTGTGCGTATTTTTAATTTTATTTATAGCTCTTTCATGGTGTAATTTTTACGTAATTTGCGTACGTGTCTGTCTGCTCTGCTAACGTCAATTTAGTATGGAAGTGTATGAGTGGTACACATACGAGAATATTTGCACTCTGTTCCAATTTCTTTATGAACGCATCATGCAACACACACTTGAGCCGCGAACAATAAAGCAGACATGAAACACGTCTCGTCTAGCCGTCGACTACACTTCTAGCGAGCTGAAGAGCTTTCGTACTTACGTCCGATGCACGTTTCTAATTCATTAATGCGCACATTATGTCTTAAAACAGTAAAACTGTGTGCATTTGTTTTTAAAGAACTGTGCATAGTTAATTTGTGGATGGAAATGTTGTGTGATTTTTAAAGCGTCATAACTCGGTTAATTTTTAAGGAAAAAACTTGAAATAAATTTCATTAGAACGAGAATTTATTTGAGATTATTTGTGGAGTGGGATGGTTTTGTAGATTTTACGGTTTTAGTGTGAGAGGAAAAATAGTGATAAATTTCAAATTCATTTTTTTGTTTTGAAATAAAAATTTACTTAAGTTTGAGAGCGAATATCTCAGTTATTATAAATCAAACAATATTGAATAAACTAGCATTCGAAAGGAAATTTAAAGGAAATTAAATCTGTCAAAGAAGAAAAAGTGTATTTATAGCCAATTTTATTTTATCTACAAAAGAGTAAAACTCTGCAATTTTTCTCAAACAAAAACAAAAATATTCATAACTCAAAAACAAAAACACAAAAACAAATGATTTAAATTTCATTTTACAAACATTTTAACCCTCTATAATTCTACATATTTACAAATTCAAACAAATTCACCAATCATTTATAATATTTTTTCAAACATCATAAAAATAATAAATTCCCGCATGTAATCTAAATTAATCCATTTGAATCTATTAAAATTTTAATTTCCTGTTCACGCCTCACGTATCGATCAGCTTAAAATAAAATAATAACATATTGCACTGCACTATCCCGACCGAAACATTACAACCACTCGCGGCGCGCTAATAACATAATAAAATAATAACACATAAGGACGCTTTCAATGTTTGTGCATCAACTTTATTATTCAATATGTGTACATGAGTATCTGCGTACACAATCGCAAGTTTAAATGACCAGCCGGCGCGCGGACTGCGAGCGCGCTGAACAAATAGTCATTCCGATGGAATCGCGCCGAGAAACTTGCACACACAACTTGCGAGCTGCCGGCGTTACAAGTTGTACACGAATTACAAGTGCGCGGGGCAATTGACGCTGGAAATCAATTTGACTTCTCTGTGTGCACACGTGAGTATTTACACAACACATCTTTGCGTGCTGATAAGAATATTGTATAAAATACCGGTTTTCGGTATTTAAAATGGCGGTTTTGATACTCAAAATTTTGGTCTTTAAATATAAGTATTGGTTTTTGTTTCTCAAAATATCGGTTTTTGAATAAAATACCGGTTTTTCTCAATCAAAATACCGGTATACCGATAAATACCAGTTTTTTATTTTTAAAATTTTAGTTTTTAAGCATAATTATTGATATTTATTTCTCAATATATCAGTTTTTAATTTAAAATACCGGTTTTGTCCCTCAAAATACCGGTATACCGGTTTTTAAGAGTTTGAGGAAAAAAATTACTCGCAATTTAAATGTTTTCTGCTATTCACTACAACAATTAATTTTTTTTTCTTTATTTATTATTTGTTTAGTTTAAAAAACCGATTTTTTTCAACCAAAACGTTTTTCTTGTCACTAATTATAAATATTTCCCAATGCAGATTTCTATCGTGTCGTATCCGCATTGTTTCCTTTTGTTTAACATTTTATGGTTGATTAGCCGCACGTTGGGGGGATGAAAAGTTCAGCCGTAGGAAATTTTTTGTCGGCTGCGCTGAAAGTAATAAACTTTATTGCTCTCCGAGAAAGAAAAAACCGCACTCATGCCCACACATACAGCGCACGTTTGAGCAAAGTAAATTATTTTCAGTACATGAAAGCGCAATTGCGAAGATAAGCTCGCGCGAGCACAGGTAAACCAATAAACGGGCACAAATATGCCCAGCGCCATAAAAAACGCGCTGCGTTTTCAGTTTCAACACGTTGTAACTCAGCAGAGAACTCCGCCGGGTTCACGAATTATACAAACACCGCATTTATTGAATAACTCTCACGCATAAAAAATCGATTAGGTGCTGTGTGTGGAGTACAAGCCGCGCAAGACGGAATGCTTTCGTATTAAAAATTATGGCCATACTAATAGTTCACGTGCTGACAACATTGATTAATGCGTCTTGTGGTGAAGGCGCCGGTCAATACTATTTCACAAGTGAATAGTGTGAGGCGAGAAAGTTGGCTCTGCAACCCAACATACACATGAGAATCAATAATATCGAGCGTGAATATTTTCTGTGCGGGGTATATGAGGGATTTGCGTCTCAGGAAGCGCAAATCCTCGAAAGCATAACTTTGCGGAGGCTGCAGTCGAAGCATAAAATGGAAAATGTATGTTTCGCTTAGATGTGTTCAAGGAAAAGCTGGATTTTCATATATGCTTTTGTTTTTGCGGTCTATTCTTTGAAAAATTGCGAGCGGCATCTAATCGCATCAAAGTCGCAACCAATAAACACAATCCTACTTGCCGTGAATATATTTATATACCGCACGTGGCATGTCTGAAAACAAGTTAAGTTTCTAATAAAATCATCGCAAACTTTTGCGTGGAATGCGGAAACAAGTTGCACACACAATTCAAGTGCACTAATAACTCGCCAAGTTTCCCAATTAAAGCCGCAAACAAACTTGCTCCTCAAAGTCGACTTTCTTTTCGATTGCTCGTTGCCAAACCAAACAGCTTTATGCGCAGCGCCAGCTCGTTAGTAACTAAATAATAATCATCCCTATTATATTTAGTTGTTTGGGTTGCCTACGTTGTTTATTTTTATCCTTACAAGAAAATTAGATTTTTCAACGTGCAGGGGAGATCAATAAAAACAAAGTAAAGTAAAGTTAATAATGTTTGAGTAGGTTTACACTTTGATGATGAGAAAGATTTGAATATTTGAACAAGAAGCGTGCCTTATCTCCACCACAGCCAGGTTTGATCTATGCGCATATTTTGCTCCACTTTTTTTAAAACACGATTTTTTCTTCTTTTTTTCTGTTAGATAAGCAAAATATTTATACGCAGATAAATTAAAATTAAATTAATTACGAGTGGCTTTAGCTAATCCCATGGTTGTATGTGCATTAATTTTGTAAAGCGCGGCGTAATATTTTTTCGCCACGTGTAGAGGCATGTGTTGCATCCAGGCAGGTGGAGAGGCAATCCATGACGGATTAAGTATATTATTCATCGCTGTAAAGTAGGTTAATCTTACCTGCATTTATCGCCCGGCAATTATTCACATCATAAGCGCAGATTTACCACGAACACATGCTCGCTATTAATGCTACAGGTTCCTACTGATGGGATTCCATTTTTTGTTTTACAGATATCTGTAATAAACACACAGAGGATTCAACAGGACTACCTAGGCATCATCAGTATGCGCACACCACATGGTCTACAATCCTGTTGACATTTATTGTGTAAGTAATTTGAAAGCATTAAAATTGTAAAATTTGACATTTTGTAAAACGTCAAGTATCAAGTTGTGATAGGCAACTTGTTTGTCACGTATGGATTGAAGTTTTTACCGTTTAAGAAGTTGTTTGGGTTGCCTACGTTGTTTATTTTTATTTTTATGCAAACATTTCTAATTTATTCTATAAAATATGAATTTTCTGATGTTTGTAAGACAATTTTCTGAAAACTGAAGGAAATATCAGGTATCCTCCATGGCCTCCCGGGAAAAGGACGTGAAACGTGATGAAATAAATTTCAGCAAGGCATTTGTTTGTTCTAAAAGCATGTACACGGCGCGAAGCCCATTCTGCGGTAATTAATTAGATGTAATTTGTAGTTTACTGATGGAAGCGACGCACAACGAACATATCCGACGTACAATAGCTAAAGACTGGCAAAGTGTACGCGGATGACGAGGGAGAAGGGCTTGCGAATGAGAAAGCAAACAATGCACTCGCCTACGAGTTAAGTGCGTACGCTTGTGTGTGTGTGCTTAAATGCCGCCTGTGTATGCTAACGATCCATTGCAACAAAGGCCCGTGCGCTCCGACAAGACTGAATCATTCAGAGAAACACTTGTGAACAATTTGTAACGCGCGCTCGCGCTATGAGATGCAGCTATAAATTGATTCGTTTGTTTGCAGATTAATTGACAAAGCAATGCGTGGTAGTCCGTGGACAGCCTGCGCGCTGATCTGCTTCTTGTTACCTTCATGCCTTCCAAATCCACACCGGGGACGCCATCATCCCCAGCAGCAGCAGCAGCAGGAGCCACACGCGGAGGCATACCATATGTCGCGGGACCCCTTCGACCCGCATCGAGATAGCGAGGAGTTCCGGCGAGATGGGCCCGAAGAAGGCCGTCGGGAGGTATCACGACGTGATAGCACCGAAGAGGACCCGCTGGTGGTGCAGACGAAGAAGGGTAAGGTTCGTGGTACGACCATTGCGGCAGCAACTGGTAAACTTGTCGACGCATGGCTGGGTATTCCATACGCGCAGAAACCGGTTGGGAATCTGCGCTTCCGGCATCCGCGTCCAGTTGAAAAGTGGGATCATGTGTTGAATGCTACCAAAATGCCCAACTCGTGCGTGCAAATCATAGACACTGTGTTTGGTGACTTTCCGGGGGCGACAATGTGGAACCCAAACACGCCGCTGAACGAGGACTGCCTGTACATCAACGTGGTGGTACCAAAACCGCGCCCAAAGAGCGCCGCCGTTATGCTGTGGGTGTTTGGCGGCGGGTTCTATTCTGGTACTAATACACTCGATGTCTACGATCATAATATATTGGTTTCTGAGGAGCACGTTATTCTGGTGTCGATGCAGTATCGCGTTGCATCGTTAGGCTTCCTCTACTTTGGCACCTCGGACGTGCCCGGTAATGCGGGTCTCTTTGACCAGATGATGGCCATCCAGTGGGTGCGTGACAACATTGCCGCTTTCGGTGGTAACCCGAACAATATCACACTCTTTGGTGAATCCGCCGGAGCTGCTTCTGTTTCCTTTCACCTGCTATCACCACTATCGCGTAACCTCTTCTCGCAGGCGATTATGGAGTCAGGAAGCGCGACAGCACCATGGGCGGTGATCTCCCGTGAAGAAAGTATCCTTCGTGGGTTGCGATTAGCTGAAGCAGTTGGTTGTCCACATGAACGTGAAGATTTACCAGCGGTTATCTCATGCCTACGTAAGAAGGACCCAATTGAGTTGGTCAACAACGAGTGGGGAACCTTAGGAATCTGTGAGTTCCCCTTTGTCCCTGTTATTGATGGGGCTTTTCTGGATGAGCATCCAGTGCGTGCGCTTGCTAACAAAAACTTCAAAAAGACCAATATTCTGATGGGTTCCAACACCGAGGAAGGCTACTACTTCATTATCTATTACTTGATGGAGTTGTTTAAGAAGGAGGAGAATGTGTTTGTCAATCGGCCAGAGTTCCTACGCGCCGTCACCGAACTCAATCCGTACTTCAATGCGGTGGCGCGCCAAGCGATCGTCTTCGAGTACACCAACTGGCTGAACCCGGAAGATCCGCTGAGTAATCGCGACGCGCTCGACAAGATGGTCGGCGACTATCAGTTCACGTGCAATGTGAATGAGTTCGCGCACAAGTACGCCGAAAATGGCAACAATGTCTACATGTATTACTTCAAGCATCGCACCATTGCCAATCCGTGGCCCTCGTGGACGGGTGTCATGCACGCCGACGAGATCAACTACGTCTTCGGCGAGGCGCTCAATCCGACCAAGAGCTACACCGCGCAGGAGGTTGATCTCAGCCGGCGGATTATGAAATACTGGGCCAATTTCGCTAAAACTGGCAATCCGAGTCTGTCGCCCAACGGCGTCTGGACTCCAACCATATGGCCTCTGCACACCGCCTACGGTCGGGAGTATCTGACCCTTGATGTTAATTCCACAGCCACAGGTCATGGTCCTAGACTCAAGCAGTGTGCCTTCTGGAAGAAATACCTACCTCAATTAACACAAATCACAGGTAATATAGGCAACCAAATATACACATTTCGATTTATTTATTTTTTACGTTTTAAGTTTAAAGCGTGAAATCAAGGTTTAAATCTATTTCGGAGTGTATTTTCTACGCTGAAAGAATGTTATGTGAAGTAATTGGACTTTCTTTTGCTGAAAAAGGAAAAGAAACACCACTCTACGCCGCGCGTTCGGGTCGTAATAGAAGAAGCATTAACGGAGAAGAAGCCTGGAAATGTTTCCGCGCGAGAAATCGGTGAAAATCAGACGCGAAACGAGAAAACAATTATTGAAAGCGGTCCGGAGATTTTCCAATAATTGAGTTGCGGCCGCTTTGGTTTCGAACTTCGGCCGCACAGCCCATTCGGACACACAATATATCTATCTACGAGCGCGCGCGCCAGCGAGCGGAAAAGAAAATATGAGTAAAAGTTATGTTCGGTTAGTTAATACACCCTCGTCCACAACCGCCCCCTCCTCGGAACCCCTCGGAAGCCTGTCCTAATGATGCGCGGACAGTTGCCAACACGCGTGCTAGGCTCAACCCATCCAATCGGATGCTATATGTTGCGTAACAAATGTGTTCAGGAAACTTAATGTTATAGGGCTGCCGACAAATTTTCCACAAATACGGCGATAAATCTTCCGCGGCCATTGTGCGCCCGAGAATCTGCCTATTGTGGTCATGAATGCCAAAACAGATCGATGCGTACACTACCCGATTGAGGCGATTAGAACTAATAAAATATTTTCCACTCGAATGCGCTCGAATTAAAATATTAACTTTCTCGCGCACACCGAATAGACATGTTTCGAACGTGTTCGACTGGTTGTATATCTTCCTTTGTGCGGAGCGGATTGCGGACGAGTGTTGAGTGGTAATCGAATTTCATTCGGCGAGCTAAAATTCCCCAACCAATTTTCAGCGCTTGCGGAAGCGATAGAAATAAAGAAATGAATTTAACAGCAAATGGAGTGTGTTGGCGTACTTTCACGCTCTTTTGTGCGTGTCGAGAAATAACTCTTCCGGACGCCGGGATTTATTTTTTAAATCTCATTTTAGATAACTAACAAAATAATCGACAATTTCAAAACATTGGTGTTCGGATCTTTTCGGTTATAATGAAGCAATTTGTCGCTGGTGCGATGCCGGGCGCGTTAAAACTAAAGTTCGAAAACTCGAGAGTGAGTGAGAGTGGGTTATCGAAGTATTATAATCGGAAAAGATGAAGAGATGAGAAGACGAAGATGAGTCGGGTTTAAATAAGGCATTACGTATGCGGCGCGCGCGCCCGCATTGAGTCGATGCGTCCGAATCAAGGGGCGGCAGGCAGGCGGCGACAAGCGGAAAGAGAAGCGACACGTCGGGGTTGCAGACATGCTGAATTCCAGCTCAAACCACGATAAGTTAATTATAAGAATACGAAATGCATAGAATAACAAAGAAATCTATATTCTCTTTCAAATAAAATTTTCTTTAATAAAACATTAAACATTTTTCTTTAAAAATAAAATAAAAATTAAATTAACGTGTGTTGTGGGTTGCAGCGGAACTAACAGCGCCATCCAACAAGCCATGCACGAGTTCATCGATGAAGATGTCGCCGGCGCCCAGCACGGCGACCGCCGCCATCATGTTATTATTCATAGTACACGCCATATTGCTGAACTTCCTACACTCGCCGTCGACTACGACCACGTTCCAATCGCAGCCGCTTCAGCGATTCGGCGCTATCACACGAGCGTAGATATTCCAACAAAACTATATTACACACTCACACACAAACACACAAAACTTACCCACCAAGCAGCAAACACAACAAATAACTTATTAAATATATTGGAATCAGCTTCGATGCTGCGCGGGGGACATTTTTGCAAAAACAAAGAAAAAAAGCGAGCGAGAAAGCTAATAATACTAAATATATACTTAACACTTAAACATTATAAATAAACGAATTGGTATCAACAGCAAAAATCAATCGGACTGTTACCATTTCGCCATATTGGCGATGAATGATAACTATTAAGATATATATATATGAATATATAGGGAGTACTAATTTAAAGAAGATGAAGAAAAAAAAAACATACAAAAACTTGAGAATCGCTTTTCGCTACTTATAGAGTCAATGCTTGTTGTAAAATAACACGGAAGACAACTTGACAACGTACCTAATGAATAATAAGAAGAAAAAACTCTATAAACAAATAAGCTTAGGAGACACAGAAAAAAAACGACACAAAAACAGTGACGACGTGTGTGCGTGTGTGCATATACATCCAAAAAATGCTTCATAACCTAAAAATTACTCTACCCACACACACACACTCACACACAAACACTCTGTATACAGACGATGACGCAATGTTTGTTATTATCACACACCAGGCCTAGAAAACAGGTGGCTGCAATGCGATTGGAATTGTTCGAATCGCACCCCTATGTTTAAACGTCTCTAAAACAAAACAAAAAAAGAAGATGAAAATACAACTCAATGATGATGCTAATGGAATTACTCAAACGCAAATATAACTCTTACATTTAAAGGACCATATTATACGCGGCAAACAAAATTAAACTACAATTAAAGAGGTTATGTCATCTGAATATACAATATACACACGAACCTAACCAAAGAATAATATGGCTTACGATTGGCTTTGAAACTGCAACCAAAAACACACACTAATTATATTACGATTCCCAAGTTTATACAAAAGAAGAAGCGAAAATGAATTAAGATAATAAACAAATTGATATAGCGAGCTCATACGTGTCATTTTGCACCACATTTTTACCATCTAGATTTATGACGTTTTGATGATTAAACAAAATATTAACAAAAATTACCAGATTTTAAGGGCCTAATCTATTGTCAGCTTAAACAAAACACTTGATTTTGTTTGCTTGAGTCAAAGTAATCCTCGCCTAAACGTAATTATTATCGTAGAGCAAAAGAGAAATTATCTAAATCTCAGCAATTTATATGATGAAGAAGATGAAAAAAAAAAATCGAGTAAACGAATAAGTTCCGCCCGCAGAATAAATTAACATTTACATAAAGATGAATATTATATTATCAGAATGACAGAATGTACATTATTAAGACTACCATCATTGCCAACACACACTCAAACACACACAGAGAGCAAAATTCAGGCTATAAAATGTATTCACGATGGAATTAGACGAACACAAATGTATTAATATTACTCCCGCTGATGTAACTTATCTCTTTGCTGCCTTAAAACTGTAATATACACAGCCACACCGACACACACACGTAACACACATACATTTGTTTCGTACACAGGCGGTTTTCCCCCTTCTTCGTGCTGAAAAACATAGAATTAAATGAACCTTTTTATTCCCCACCGTAAAAACTACTTAATTCTAATGCAACGCAATATATTAGACGAATAGAATAGACGATAATCAATAATTAATTCGTGAATTAATTATGATAGCCAATAAATTACTAATTACTCTAGCGTACGTCTATCTTGTGCCTCCGTATTGAAAGTTTAGTGGAAAAACAAAAAAAAAATGATTATTAGCGAACGCTTCCGATTCTTTCAACGTCTTTCAAACTTAAACGACTCAATTCGACTTGCTAACCAAAATTTTAATGAATACACCCACTCAAATACATATCCAGAAGATGGTGCAAACACATTCTAAGAGGAGAAAGTAATGCTACGTTCAAATTTACTAAAACATAAAAGTGACACACATTGAAAAACTTATTGTTATGAATTTACCCAAAGAAAGAAAAAAAAACAAAGAATTACGAATACTATTGAATGTTAAACCTAACACGATATACATTTTAGACGCCTGCTTTCCACCCAAAAGACATACACAGTGCGAGGACTTATTAAATGTTGAAATGAAACATCTTGAATTTACGTTATTTGTTACGCTTTTTGGCTTCGAACCTTTATGATGCTGATAAAGTTGCCTAGTTGTCTAGGCGCATCGATTGCGAAACGTTTTCAATCAATGCTTTTGTTTAGTGCATACTGAATACGTTTAAATATTGTGCTAATTCGTATTAAATACTTCTAGATAATTAAATAAACAAAAAACAATACGATATCGACCAGAATCAATGATCTGTGCACGCGGATTATTGACCAGTATGGATTGTATGGGTTTTGGTGTCATTTGGGAAGCATACAGTCAACTAAAATGACAAATGACAGTTTTATTTTAAACGTACACACAGAATATTCGTTAGAATTGCTTTGAAACATTAACGAAAACCAACTTGAAAGTATTGTGCGCTCGGTGTTCAGAAAAGTACTAACCTAATATGCTCTATCAAAGACTAAGAGAGTAACGAAATTATTTAAAGAAGAATCAAAACGATGAGGAAGATAAAATTGACATATCATACATAAATGAAGAGAAAAATGAGTAACACGTTTAGCTCGTAGGGAAAAAATGAATTACACGATAAATTAACGTAACATACCTAATAAATTTAATTATATTAATATTTAATTATTAATTATTAAAGAATTAGATACTAAATACCAACAAGAAACTTGCTAAAACAGAATTACTAAACACGATAACAAAAAACGAGGTGAAAAATGAAAATATTAATAACAATACACACAGAAAAAACAGAAAAATTTGTATTTAATAAGTTAATGATAAATAACTAATACTAAAACATATCCTCGTTGCTTTCGACACCTTATGAATTGTATTATAAAACAAATATATATAGATAGCGATGATTAGAGGTTATGTTTGCATTTTAAGATGAGTTCCAAGATAGCAACGAACGAAACCACGATAGAAATCTTAAACTACTTGTAACTGTCAGTATTTAACTAAATATTTTTGGCTTTCCCAGTTCTTCCAACAAAAAAAAGTAATAAAACGTAATAAAAAACAAATTAAACTAAAACATACGATTTGATTACACACTTTACGATCATTGACAACAAAATTACATACTATCCAAAGATAAAACGCGAGTTGTGTTATATGCAAACTGTATGCAACCATATATACAACATATGATGTATCACGGGTTGCATACAGTGACATAACTCACGAAAATGTTTCTTTTTTGCGTTGAAAACTAAATATTTTATTCCCGTTTTTGTATATGTTTAAGTTTAACATTGTTAAAGTTAAGTTTACGTTTAAATTGTTACTTGTTCAAGAAGCTGTTGAGTGTAATAACGATTCTGTTGTTTGGCACTAATTCGTATTAATAAACTAAAATGATGGCGATTATGATGCTGACGATGATGAAAATGGTTCAGGATAGACCTAAGCGTATTTAGATTTAATTATGTATTAAAATTACATACATAATTTTAAAGATGCAAACTAAATGTTAACGATACACGAACAATTATAATGATAGGCGAGGTGAGACAAACACACACACACAAAACACACAAAAAGAAGAAGAACAAGAAAAAAATGAAATAAATTTAAACACACACAGCGAAGTTGTTGCTAATTCCGTTCTTAATTATAATTACAATTATAATTACTATTACGCATAAACTACTACAATATAGTGCGATATGATTAGTTGAAGAAATATATTTGTCTGAGAATTAAAAATAAACGCAAACGCTGATATAAAATACAATGATGAAGATGCAAAGTTCTAAAAAAGAAAAACTTGTATTATAATACACAATTACTTGTATTCCAGTTATTCGTTTATTAAACATACCGAATAATGAGTAAGAGTTACGCCTAAGCCTACGAGTGTAAGTGTAAGTGTACACATTGTGAGAGGAACAAATGAGGAGCAGATGAGGAGGATAATAAGGAAAATAATGCGGATGGAAGTAAATGCCATTCATTTATCGTTTTTATAAGCCGTGGGGTTAAATGGAACTAGAAGCCGACCGATTCATGTTAGGCAACTTCTTTTACAGCAATGTATGTGAAGTCGTGAACCTGGACGGAATGTGAATGAATTTTTCCTGTGTTTTTCTTTAGTTTTAAGCGTTTATCTCGATATCTATACCTTACTTATTCAATATAAACGATTACAATTGCAAAACAAATAAACAAACAAATAATTACTAACAATAACTACGCATCTATTTTGTTTTAGCGATATTAATACTAAATATTATGACTAAACTCTATTATTGCTTCGATTCTATATTCCACTATTCCTATTGTATTGATATTCTATTTAAATAAAACCAGATGAAGATGATGGTGATGATGATGATGATGTAAAGTGGAAGTAATGGAATGAGAGCGAGAATTTCGAATAAATTATGATTCCATTTTTCGATTCATATTGATTATTATTGACGATTAACGGTATTTAGTGTATAAGTAAGAATTTAATTACATACTAAAATTACTATATATAAATTATATGAATGACATTTAAGACAGAGCGTGGCAGATGAGGAACACACACACACAGAAAAACATTAGAGTTGTTGTAGGCCATCGGCTGTACTAATATTATTATTATGACAAAAAAATTGATTGAGAAATTTCAAATAAATGAAAAATGCTTGTACATAAATATACTAATAACTATATACTATATATACTAATAATAATTCATTCACGACTCATTTGTTTCATTCTTTCATTGTGTCATTGAACTGCGATTAAATAACATTTTGATTCGTCAACCATTTCATTTTTCTACATCTTCAGATTTCAGAATAATACAAATTAAGAATAATTATTGTTTTACATAATAGGCATGATGACTGCAGAATAAGTAGCCTATGTTATTCTCCAACATCCAAAGTATTTTTATACCAAAATTTATTAATATTAGTTTAGTGGTTTGTGCGTAGCAGCGTTACAAACATACATTCATATATCGTATTATTCGCATTTGTAGCATTAGTTAGGATTACACCAATCAGAGTGAACAATTCAACATCCCGCCCCTTGTACAACCAATCACAATCGCACAATCAGCTGAGGGAACAGATATCATATATAGGCAACCCAAAATACACATCCAGCTAACTAATTTGTAATTTCCAAATATTAAAGGATAGTTTTTTAACAGTCATCATGTCAATTATACACTGACCAAATATTTATCTTGTTTGCGTGTCAATAAGAACACTAAAGTTACGTCCATTTAATTTCTTTTATTGCCAAGTTGTAGTTTGTGACGAAAAGTGTAATGGTTTGCACTCACGCATAAGAGAAACTAATTAACGATTCAATTAAAAGCTCATGGCCGCCAATTCGACCCTACAAATGGACTAGCCACCAGTTTATGACAGCCGGAATGGTTGGATTGGATTTGTGCTAATGGATAATGGTGGTTTCAAATTTTATGTCGTAAAGGTAATAAATAACTTTTGCTTGTACAAGCTAACTTAATAGGAAATAACATTTTATTTCTTGACAATTGCTGAAAACGCTTTAAAATATAAAAAAAAATATTTTAAATATGCGCGGAAAATATTAACTTATAATTTCATTATTTATTGACATTTTCTTCACAAATTACGAAATATAGAAACATATCGGGTTTTTATTTGACGTAGACGAAGTTAGTAGTAGAATTTCATATTATCAACTGCAATATTTTTTACGATCGCGACATTTCTACCTTTTCAACGATGACAATACAATTCATACTCATAAATATGTATAATCAACAACTAATAAAAACTACCTGCAATCACGAATAGTTGGTTTACGATCATCGAAAACAAAATTACAATTTTCCAATATATTTGGACAATGTTCGCTTGATAAAAGATGGCAAGTCATATCATAGGAATATGCAAACTGTATGCAACCGTATGCAACATTGAATGTATTTTGGGTTGCATACAGTAACATAACCCCTCGTATGCTTCTTTTACCTTAATACCTATTCCTACATTCTCTACATTTGATCGCTGACAACATGTATCGCAATTCATGAATATGAGGCTTGTATAATCAATAACTAATAAAACTACCTGCAATCATGTTGGTAGTGTAGTCTAGTATTAGTCTACCACTCAATTTCCTTTATTTGTGTACTACCTGAACACCGGCCGGTGAGCTAGTTGTGAACTCCTCAAAATCTAAATTCATTCGGTACAGCCCCAGTGACCAGTCCCAATAAACGCATTTTGCATTATATCACCACTACATAAATTCCAAGCATCAGTAGTACTCGTACATCAGCAACAAGCTGCTACCGCCTGCGCTGCGCGCAACTCGCCTCAACGAAGTTGAAGTCCCGTTTAATTCCGTGCGGTAAATTCGACTCGCAGTTCGTTTTGTTCGCTTCGACAAGCCAGCATCGCTCGCGTCGTGTGTTTTACCGATGCACAGCACAACTAAACTGCCGCAATTCAATCTCATCGCAACTACAATCGACATTTAATCATTTCATTAATTAAATTAATAATCAGTTTAATTAAAATAACGCGTCACTATAAATCAAATGTGATTTCTTTAAAAATTTGCTAAATTATGTGCCTTTATCTTGAATAATATTAATAAAAAAACAACGAAACGCAATACGAAAACGTAACTTCCCGAGTTAAAAATCTAGAAGGCAATTCAATGTCTTAAATTCCAATCTATACATAATGTTTAATAAACAACGCGGAGTTATTGCGGTTAATACTAAACATCGACGGATAAATAAAATATAAATAACGATATCTTATTTCATTAATTAAATTAGGTTACTGATGAAGTGACATGAATTAACGTTAAAAATTGCACAATTTCATTACCATTACCATGGATACGAGCAAAAAGTTCGACAACAAAAGCCCGGAGCTCTCGTCGAATTTCTTATCGAAATTAGTGTTCGGGTGAGTAAGAGTAAAAGCAAAGCTTTGTTATCTATCTAAACCGTTATCACTGGTTGCATTATTAGTTGTTTTTTGTCTATTCGCAGCTGGTTAATTGTCATAGTAGTATATTTGTTTTGTGAAAATGCTAAACCTAACCTCTAAATTTAAAGCATTAATCACATTCGATTTTACTTATTTTAATTTTGTGTTTATTAAAGAAGGAAAGAAAGGTTGATGAATGAATTAAACACAATATTATGCGTTAATTTAAATATTATTGTGTCTGGAAATATAAAAATATCCAGCTGTATTTAAATAATAAATATTTGAACAGATTTAAGTTTATTTTAGTGAGTTTTAGGGTAGAAACTGGTAGTAACCAAATTATAATAAAATTTTCAACGATTTTTACATTTCCTATAATTTTGCACAGTAAATTCATTTATTCTCGTATCTATACCCACCTATATCATTATATAAACATAGTATTTGTTAAATAAAGGACCGGAAATTGAAACCTCACCTTCAAATCACTTTAACAATGAAAAACACTCTGAAATTTGTTGTAATTTAATGCAAATAATATATTTCTTTGGAAATTTCTGTGATGCACAGATGGATTCGTTAGTTTATTATCTTATTTGCCTAGTATCGCGTTTACAACACTCAATTAACTGCGTTAACATTTCATTTAACAGTGATCATAATGTCACACACTCTTTATGATCAACTGAATGCAATCTTGCATTCAACACACACATGTTCAAATATAAATTGTGACAATTATTACAACTTGACCTCATAAAACATAGAAGATATCAACTGAACTTAGCTTAATTTTATTTAGATTATACTAAAACTATTCACAAGGTCACGGACTAGATATTAATATTTATTTATTACAAAACACCGTTGATTTAATATATAATTTCAGATGGGTTCTTCCTTTTTTTCGTATTGGTTTGAAGAAAAATATAGAACTAAAGGATTTGTACAACTCTACAAAACCAGATTTATCTGAACAGCTGGGAAATGCATTAGAAATGTAAGATATTAGTTTTTTTTAGTTACAATATTAAAATAATTTAATATTTTAGAAATTGGGAGAAAGAATTATTGCGTGCAAACCGTGACAAAAGAAAGCCCTCATTATGGAAAGCTTTATCAGCGACGTTTTTCCGCCAGTTTGCAGTTTGGGGCCTCATATTGTTCCTGCAATCGATTGTTTTCAAACTAAGCCATCCAATCATCCTCGCCCACCTGATTAAATACTTTGATCCTGCCAAACCCTACTCGGAACACGAAGGCTGGTTGCTTGCCTTCGGCGTTATCCTTGTTTCTCTCCTAAACATAATCTGCATCCACCATGCAAATATCGGATGTCTACGGATTGGAATGCGGTGTCGCATTGCCTGCTGTTCACTTATGTACAGAAAGGTAATCAACACATCAAACATATTTATTTAATCTAATTCATTTGTTTTTAGTTACTTAAATTAAGTAAAGCATCACTTAATCAAACTGCGACTGGTCAGATGATTAATCTTATGTCAAATGATGTGCAGCGGTTCGAATTTTTCTGTTCTTTTCTGCATTATATTTGGATAATGCCGATTCAGGCTGTTGTGGCGTCGTATTTGATGTGGGACAGCGTCGGCTGGCCGGCAGTCGTGGGTGTTTTGACTATCGCCGTACAAGCGATACCTCTGCAAGGTTTGTAACTGGAAAATTCATTGTTAACTTATCAGCACTTATTGTTTTTGTGCGCGCGGTTGTGTTTCAGGATACTTATCAAAGCTACAAGGGTCTTATCGCTCGGAGATTGCGGGCCGGACAGATTATCGGGTGAAAATCATGTCGGAAATCACCAGCGGTATTCAGATAATCAAAATGTACGCGTGGGAAAAACCATTTGAGAAGGTGGTTGAACTGGCGCGTAAGTTGGAGATTGATATCATCACGAAAAAATCGTATATTTTGGGCTATACCACAGCGTTGATGGTTTTCACCGAACGCACAAGTCTCTACGTCACTGTGTTGTTTTATGTTTTGTCTACGGGTAATCCACTATCGGGCGAGTTGGTTTTTTCAATGGCGCAGTTCTTTAATACCATTCAGTTGTACATGGCAATTCTTTTCCCGCTGGGGGTTGTGTTTGCTTCCGAATGCCAAGTTTCAGTCAGGAGAATCAAAGAATTCTTAACGCTAGGCGAAAATCTACGTATTATCGATGTAGATGAAGATATTAAAGGTGACAAAGGTGCTATTAAAGTGGTAAAAGGCCGTGCTTCCTGGTCACCGAGTCCAATCATCGAAACATTGACAAATATCAACTTTGAAATTGAGTCTGGAAGTCTCTGCGCAATTGTTGGATCTGTGGGTTCAGGAAAAAGTTCCCTTTTACAACTTCTACTACGCGAATTACCTTTGAATAGTGGTAAATTAGAAGTGCAGGGAGAGGTTTCTTACGCGTCGCAGGAGCCGTGGTTATTTGTGTCCACGGTCCGGAATAATATTTTGTTTGGCCAGCCGTTTGTCAAGTCGAGGTACAAGCAGGTGGTACGTGTGTGTGCGTTGGAGACGGATTTCGCGCAGTTTCCGCACGGGGATAAAACATTAGTCGGCGAGCGTGGTGTTTCCTTGAGCGGGGGACAACGCGCGAGGATTAATTTGGCACGGGCGGTTTACCGTGCGGCCGACATTTATTTATTCGACGACCCTCTCAGCGCTGTGGATACACACGTCGGCAAACAATTGTTTGACGAGTGTATTAGTAGACACCTCGAAGGAAAAACTAGAATTTTGGTCACGCATCAATTACAGTTCTTGAAAACTGTCGATAAGATTATCATTGTGAATAATGGACAAATTGAAAAGATTGGTACTTATGCTGAGCTTGCCGAGAAAGAACTTTCACATTTAAAACATACAGTGCCTGAAGAAGAAGCCCCAGGCGAAGATATCAAACGGACCAAGCGTTTGATGTCAGTCACATCGCACGAGTCTAGTAATGTGGACGAGGAGGAAGACGAACCTGAAGAGACGCAGGAATTGATGGAGAAAGGATCAATACCGACGTCCACTTACGTTGATTACTTTAAATCCGGTGCTAATGTGTGCGTGTTGGCACTCTTGGTGTTTCTCATTCTCATCGCACAGATGTTCTGTAACTCTAGCGATTTATGGCTGAAACACTGGACGAATCAAGAAGAGAATGTGTGTGCTGATCAACTAAATGAGTTTAACAGCACTACAGAAGACGGAAATTCAACAGATTTTGTATGTTTTATATCTGATAATCCAAGATATATGAATATCAACATTTATACTGGTCTGATTGTCGCAACTGTTATCTTAACAACCGTACGTTCGTTATTCTTCTATAAAGTGTGCATGAACGCGTCGAAATCTCTGCATAATCAGATGTTTTCCAATATTTTGCAAGCAACGATGCGATTTTTTGACACTAATCCATCAGGGAGGATTCTCAATCGTTTTTCGAAGGATATAGGAGCGATTGATGAACTTCTACCCCGTTTAATGCTTGATTCCATACAAATTTTCATGGTGATGTCTGGTATTTTGGTGATGGTTTGGATTGTTTCGCCAATTATGATTGCGCCAACACTTGTTTTGGGTGGTATTTTCGCTTGGATTCGTTATATCTACATGTCAAGCGCGCAGGACATCAAAAGATTGGAAGGTGTAACTAAAGCTCCAGTGTTTTCACATGTTTCTGCGTCCCTGTCAGGATTGACCACGATTCGCAGCAGTGGAGCGCAGTATTTAGTCGCGAAAGAGTTTGATGTTCTACAGGATCAACACACTTCGTCTTTTGTACTTATGATTTTTGCTAGTGAAGCATTTGGGTTTTATTTGGATTTATTAAGTGTGTTCTTCGTCGCTGTAGTAACACTTCAATTCTTTGCATATGGTAATTATTTATTAATTATTGTGGTTGTTTTTGTATTGTAATATTTTTATTTATTTAAAGATACTGTTATGGAGGGAGATGTTGGTTTGGTAATATCCCAGTCATTGATTTTGACTGGAATGTTACAATATGGAATGCGGCAGACTACAGAAGTTGCTAATAACATGACGAGTGTTGAAAGAGTGTTACAATACACAAAATTAGATAAAGAAGGACCTTTCGAATCAACTCCAGCGCAGAAACCGCATCGTGATTGGCCGATGAAAGGCGAAGTTAAACTTAAGAATCTTTATCTACAGTATTCCACCAGTGATCCGCCTGTTTTGAAAAATTTGAATTTAGAAATTCCTGCAGGGTTTAAAGTTGGTATTGTGGGTAGAACCGGTGCAGGTAAATCTTCGATGATCGCTGCCGTGTTTCGCCTGGCTCCAATTGAAGGAACTGTCGTAATCGACGATGTTGATACGAAGAACATCGGTTTGAATGATTTACGCAGTAATATTTCGATTATTCCACAAGAACCCGTTTTATTTTCGACTACTGTTCGACATAATCTGGATCCATTCGATCGTTGCAATGATGAAACACTATGGAAAGCTTTGGAAGATGTTGAATTGAAAGATGCGGTACAAAAACTCGAACAGGAAGTGAGCGAAAGCGGTTCGAACTTCAGCGCTGGTCAACGACAATTGATTTGTCTAGCGCGTGCGATTATTAGAAAGAATAAAGTTATTATTATGGATGAAGCTACTGCCAATGTTGATCATCAGTAAGTCATTACACAATTTTAGTGTTTCTGTGAATGATTATTAATTATTTTTCCAGAACTGACGCTCTCATCCAGAAAACAATCCGTCATAACTTCCAGGATTGCACAGTCCTGACAATCGCACATCGCCTCAACACAATCATGGATTCCGATCGTGTTGTGGTGATGGATCACGGTGAAATCGTCGAATATGCACATCCCTACGAGCTGCTACAAAACAAAGATGGCGTATTCTACGCCATGTTGCAACAAACCGGAGAGAGTATGTTTGCAAACCTCTTAGAAATCGCGCGTGAGAGCTATGAACAAAAAGCGGAAACAAATGAGACTCAGCGTGTGAACAATGCCACTTCGATGCACAGCGTCGCCTTGGACGAAACCACCGACAATTCGGACGGTGGTGAGGACGAAAACGATGACAATGATTCCAAAAATGCAACTTAAGGTGCCTAAGAAGTGCTGAATAATTGATTTAGAATTGCAGTTAAGTTACAAAATAGTTTTATTACTGTTGAAATGTTTGATATTTACTTATATTTTTGTATGTTCAACAAAACCAAAGTGTTTAACTCTTAGATTAACATCACATCACCTTTCTTTACCAAGTTCGCGACACTATTGTAGCTGATAATCATTTGCGAGCCGGGTTTGAAATCGACCAAGTCACCTTCCTCTTCGTTGCCGTCATCGATAACAATGCCTTCTATCTCGGCCTTGGACTTGAGAAACACAAAACTGTACATGTTCGGATTGATCTGTTCTTTTTTCCATTCATCCGGCGGCAATCCAGGCCAGAATTTCAAGACGTTTTCAATGTGTTCTTCAAATGCTGCAGAAAATCAACATTAATATTATGTTTTATTATTTTCTTCCTAGTACAAACCTTGTTTGCATTCTTTAGCAAATTGTAGTTCGCTTTGTGTTAAGTACAAATCTTTTTCTTGCTCCATACGCGTTTCTTCGTCTTTTAATATTCCTGAACAGCCAATTTCAATCTTTTCCAGTCGGTGTCGAAGGTAACTGCTTACCAAGTATCGCAAACGATCTACTTCCATTTGATATAATGATTTAGTAAAATCAGTTGATTCTAAACTTTCTAGATTTTCTTCCATTGAGGTGATTTGACCTAGCAAACACTCAACGATTTCAATCTTATGCGGTAATATCTCAGGGGCGAACTTTTCATTTGTCCAGGCTTCTTCCATGAGTTTTATAACTTCTGCAGCTGTTAATTCTTCAGTGTCGCTGTTGTCTGACTCCGGATTGAAGTCATCCACAACGTCCGCCATGTTTTCTTCATCGCTCATTGTTAATTTTTACTTAAAACTAAATGAATAATAAAATAATATTAATTCTAATCTGAAGTTAAAATTTTAATTATTTGCTCTTGCTGCTTCTTCAAGTAACTTGTTCTGAGTTATTAGTTCTTCAATTATTTCTTTTGATCTTTCATAATTATTTTTCCACTGAAATTGAATTGCATTAACTGTTTATCTATAAAATTTATTAAGAAAACCTTTTCATAGAAATATTTTTCGTTTTGGTTTGAGGCATTATCATTTAAATAAGTCTGAAGTTGATGACTTAGGGCTTTGTAATAACAACTCTCCTCTTGAAGTAAATTTTTCTCTTCATATGACTTCTCTAATAAAGTTCTTAACACTACATTTTCACTATTTAGTGTTTCAGGTTCAGGTATTTCAGAGTTTAACTGTGACAATGTTTCTTTATCATGTTTCAAATCATTTAGCGAGCTATAATAACAAATATTAATAATATTTTCAATTTAAAATACAATAAGAAGTACTTTTTAATGCTAGAAATTGATTCTTCTAGAGAATTATTGCCTTCAATCAGTTCCTGTTTGAATTGTTGATATTTTGCTAATTGTGACTTGAGTGAAGTGATTTCTGTTTTCAATTCACTCTTTTCTGTCTCAATTGTTTGAATCATACTCTTTAATTTCTCATTGGTGATATTCTATAAAGTGTGAATGGTAATTTAATAGAAGTTTAATTGAAATAATGAATAATTAAACATTACTGTTATTTTAAAATTGTGTTTCAATGCTTTATGCTCAATTTCTGTTTTGGTGGCTTGTTTTTCCATGTTTGTATAGAATTCTTCTTTCATCGCGTTCTTATTTTTTAGTTTGTTAAGTAGTTTTGTGTTTTCTTTCAAGGCACATTCAAATTCATGTGCCTGTATTTTCTGGGACATTAATTCTGATTTGAGTGCATTATTTTCCTCTTTGGCTAACTCTAATTCGTTCTTCAATTTTGCAATTGATAACTCAAAGGCAGCAGTTTCGTTTTCGGGCAGAGCCATTTATATTTTAAATAAATATTTGTACATTAATTTACCTTAAATAATAACTGATAACCTGCAAACTGATAAAAAGATCAACCATCGAAGATCAACATTGAAGGTATTAAAATTTAGGAATAGATGTCGCCTAACCTTCAAATCAATCTGAATTTAAATTAAATCAAAATTAAAATCTTATGTTAGTATGTTAATATTAAAAACACATCTTTAAAATGTTATTAATTATAAACCATTAAAATATGTATTCATTTTCACCACTTTTAAATTAGATTTATACTAAGCTTTCATTTTTAAACATAGTGAACAGGTGGCGCTATGCGCACTTGTTTTGACAAATCCTACTGGAAATTCTGCATGAGACATTTCCGAGTGTTTGTGTCTGTCACGAACAGCTGAAACGCAAATCGATTATTTACTTGTTTGTCTCGAATATCTCCAAATTTACGTCGTCATTGTTTGTAATTAATCAGTAAGCCTGTTTAAACGATGGGTGCAGTTCTAGGACTCTGTTCTGCAGCTCAGGTGAATACAATAAACTCTCTTTGTCCTCTATTATATTTTGCAAGGTCTAATGTAATTTCTATATGGTGCAACTAGCAACATGAAACAACACTGACTCATGGTATTATCTTATTTATTTTTAGCTGGCATGCTGTTGCGGCAGTGCGGCGTGCTCTCTATGTTGTTCAGCATGTCCATCATGCAAGAATTCAACTTCCAGTCGGATTATGTATGCTTTGATGCTGCTCTTGTCAACCATTGCAGCAGCAATTACATTGTCTCCAGGTTTACAAGATGCATTAAGAAAGGTATAAATGCTTAAAACTTTCACAAAAAGTAAGATTTATTTTAAAATTAAATTTCAAATATTAAAGGTTCCATTTTGCAACAATTCAACATCACATTACCTCCCTGACTCGGTTGTCTTCAACTGCAATGAAGCTGTGGGATATTTGGCAGTCTACCGAATTTGCTTTGCTCTGACTTGCTTCTTTGTACTTATGGCAGTAATGATGATTGGCGTAAAACATTCCAAAGATCCGCGCGGTGGCATTCAAAACGGGTAAAACCCACATAAAAAAAATCATTAAAGTTGTTAAATGTATATTTTTATGTATTATGTATGTAGTTTCTGGGGTCTTAAATACCTAATCCTCATTGGCGGAATGATTGGAGCGTTCTTCATCCCCGAAGGCAACTTTGGCGTTACATGGATGTACTTCGGAATGATCGGCGGTTTTCTCTTTATTTTGATACAGCTTATTTTAATCGTTGACTTTGCGCACAGCTGGGCTGAAGTGTGGGTTACCAACTACGAGGAAACCGAATCACGTGGATGGTATGCTGCGTTACTATTGGCCACACTTTGCTGCTACATTTTGACCATCACTGGAATTACTTTGTTGTTTGTCTTCTTTACCAAGGTATTTAAATTATTTTTTAAATTCAACAGAGTGGTTTTATTAATGTATATTTGGTTCTGTTAAATAGTCCGACGATTGCGCTTTGAACAAATTCTTTATATCTTTCAACTTGATCCTCTGCTTCTTGATAAGCGTTGTTTCGATTTTACCCGCGGTTCAAGACAAGCTCCCGCGCTCAGGACTCTTGCAATCGGCCGTCGTGTCTTTGTACGTCACTTATTTGACTTGGTCTGCTGTTTCCAACTCGCCAGGTAAACTTAAATAACTTATTTTTCCCTGTATAAATTTAAAACTCCCCTTAAAAGATTCCGACTGTAATCCTGGACTCTTGGGCATCGTGGGCGCCGGACACTCTGCCAAAAGCACTGAAATGGGTATTGATACTGAGAGTATCATCGGTTTGATTGTATGGATGTGCTGCGTTTTGTATTCCTCGCTGCGTTCGGCCAGCAAATCGTCCAAGATAACAATGAGCGATCACATTTTGGTCAAAGATAACGAAGCAGGTATGTGTTCAACCTCGATGCATTTTACTCATAGTATTATGACGAATTGTTTTAATATCCTCTTTCCCACATGCTTCTTTAGTCAGGGGAAGTGGCGAAGACGCTCTTGTCGATAACGAAGGTAATAAATTGTAGTAGACATTTAAATAGTAAATATTAGACCATTCGCGTATCCAGTGCCCGCCGTTAATTCGTTTAATGCTATGGGTTTCACTTTTCTGTTGAATTATTGGGCACTCGTGTATTTTTCTTTTGTTTCTTGAATATCTCTAAAGCATCTAAGGACGAATGTATTCCAATCCTAGGTGGAGAACAACGTGATGGCGGTGAAAAGGGTAAAAAGGTCTGGGACAATGAGGAGGAGTCTTTGGCGTACAACTGGAGTTTCTTCCACGTCGTTTTTGCTTTGGCTACGTTGTATGTGATGATGACCCTTACTAATTGGTACAAGTAAGTGTAAATGTCGTTGTTTGTGATTCTTGTTTTTGTATTTGATTGGTTTACGTAGGCCCAACTCCAGTTTGAAGACTTTGAACGCCAATGCTGCTTCGATGTGGGTGAAGGTCATCTCCAGCTGGATGTGCATCGGATTGTACGCGTGGAGTTTGGTCGCTCCGATTGTTTTGCGCGATCGCGAATTCAACTAATCCTGAGAGTTCTTTTTATTGCTGTGAATTTTTTTTAAATTATACTTACTACATATTTGTCCCTCGTAGTGTTTAGTATCAATATTTAAGATATTATTGTTCTAATGCATTAGCGTGAAATCAATCTTCGATAGGCATTTGTGTATTATTGCCTTAATACTAGAGTTTAGAATATATAACTTGTTTCTTTACTCCCTGCCTAAATTTAAGGCATCAAGTTTAAATTACAGCGCGCGGACAACATGAACAATGTAAAATGTAAAACTTCATCGCTTAGATTTCAATTTTAACTAGCCTATCTTGTATAGAATTTTCCGTAGATTAAGAATCTGCGATTTGACCTTTCTATCTCTTTTAGTTTACGAGATATTCACATTTGAAGAAAATGGTCAAAAATTGAAAAATGTCACTTTTTAGCACTTTTAGTCGCATTTTTCGACCTTTTACTCTATGAAATTAAATAATTTTAAATTAATATCTGATAAAGAATTATTCATTCTTTCATAATCTACTTTCCGCCGGTTGCTATCTCTTTTAGTTTAGAAGATATTCGCTATTGAAAATCGTCGAAAAAAAGAATCAAGCACCCCCCCTTGCCCATTTTTTTCTTAAGAGTGAAAATTTCATCTCTTAGATTTCGATTTTAACTAGCCTATCTTGTAGAGAATGTTTCGTAGATTAAGAATCTACGATTTGGCCTTCCTATCTCTTTTAGTTTACGAGATATTCACATTTGAAGAAAATGGTCAAAAATTGAAAAATGTCACTTTTTAGCACTTTTAGTCGCATTTTTCGACCTTTTACTCTATGAAATTAAATAATTTTAAATTAATATCTGATAAAGAATTATTCATTCTTTCATAATCTACTTTCCGCCGGTTGCTATCTCTTTTAGTTTAGAAGATATTCGCTATTGAAAATCGTCGAAAAAAAGAATCAAGCACCCCCCCTTGCCCATTTTTTTCTTAAGAGTGAAAATTTCATCTCTTAGATTTCGATTTTAACTAGCCTATCTTGTAGAGAATGTTTCGTAGATTAAGAATCTACGATTTGGCCTTCCTATCTCTTTTAGTTTACGAGATATTCACATTTGAAGAAAATGGTCAAAAATTGAAAAATGTCACTTTTTAGCACTTTTAGTCGCGTTTTTCGACCTTTTCCTGTTGGAAATATAATTATTTTATATTTTTATCTGATAGAGAATTATTCATTCTTCCATAATCTACAATCCGCTGGTTGCTATCTGATTTAGTTTAAGAGATATTAATTATTGAAAATCGTCGAAAAAAAGTATCAAGCACCCCCCCCTTGGCAATTTTTTCTGAAGACTTAAAATTTCATCTCTTAGATTTCCCTTTTAACTATCCGATCTGATAGAGATTGGTCCGTAGATTATGACGCTGCGATTTGGCCTTTCTATCTCTTTTAGTTTACGAGATATTCACAATTGAAGAAAATGGTCAAAAATTGAAAAATGAATTGTAGTTTACCGCTACCCTGGTACGGTGCCCTGAACACGAGTCACTTCTACTGCTACTTTCGTAGGGTGCCCTGAACATGAGTCATTTATACCGCTACTTTCGTGCGCTAAGAATTGTAGTTTTTTTGATATAACACGTGAACGCGGTGTCACAATCAGGTCGGAATAATTTTTCCAGATGCAGAATTTAATTTTGTATTTCCCTGTATTGAAATTTACTTCAAGAAAATTTTGTAAGGCGAGTTATATTGAAAATTGTGTGTATACGCACTAGTACTCGTTGCGTTAGGAATTGTAGTTTTTTTGATATAACACGCGAACGCGGTCTTAAACTTAATTCGCAATCATTTTCCTAGATGCGGAATTAAATTCGTTATTTCCCCGTATCGAAATTTATTGCGAGAAAATTCCGTAACGCGAGTTATAATGATAGTTGTGTGTATACGCACTTGTACTCGTTGCGCTAGGAATTATCTTAAGCCGATAAATATTGAAAGTAACAGTAGATTTCGTGTATATGTGCTATTTCAATATTGTAAATTTTCGTTTAGTATTTTCAACTACGTGTTTATCAGTACGTTTGTGTATAAACAACTTTTTTTGTTAGAGTGACGTGTTATCGCTGCCTACCTGCCTTGAACCTGGCTACGCGCGGCGTACACGGCAGTCGTTTTACCGCGTGGTCCACGAACGTGTCTCTCTAGTCGCCATGCGTTTTGAGGTTTTAATTGGATTAATCGTTGTGTATTCTTTCGGCCATCATCAAAATATTCGGGACGGTCATGTGTGTGTGTTTTGTGTAAATCATTAATTATGGGGGTTAGAGTCTTCTTAAGTGAGAAATAAGTGTCTGTTAATCCCTACGCGAGTTTTCAGTTGATAGAATATATTTAAGGATAGAAAATCTCCTCATCAATGCATAGGTAGGTGGATAATTAAAATTTAACGCGGGTTTAAGGGGTTTAACTTAAATTAGTTATTCCATCTAGGGGATATTAATTTTGTAGATTACAAACACGTGGTGGCACTTTTATCCGAATTCTTCTTAGTCGCGTTTCCGAAAATAACATGCTTAATTTAATTATTACAAGCACGGTTTTTAAAATTATCTGAGGATTATTAAAATGACAATATTCATGTTGTCGACCGGGCTCACTTTGCCGTCGGCCGTCGGTTCGGTCATGTTTTCGATGATCACGAAACATTTGAATCGAATTGCATCATTAAATGAATAATTTATTGTTAAAATAAAATCTGAACGGTGAATAGTTTTTAGTTTTCGCAGCCTTGGTATATCTTAATATTTACAAGGAAATAGTTATTTTTATCGTCTTTATCCACTGTGTTGTTACGCGCCGTCGCTTGCTGGGTGTTGATTTAAACGTTTTCCGCCGGATATTCTATCAATTTATGATGATGCTTCACCCGTCGGTTTAATTAATTAATAAATATATATTCACAATATATTAAAATGTATTTTTTTTTTCTAGCACCTTTTTGCTTAATTTCCCGATCATTTCCCAGTGAAATCTTTGAATTTATATTAAAATATTGTTGTTTCCATATAAATTTCCCGTGTCATGATGTGAACATTCATTATCATTGTAGTTCCCAAAATTTACTTTTTGTAACATCCTGTATATTAGTTTTCCTAACCGCACGTAAAAGATTGTCTTTATTTGTGAGTTTTGAATGTTCATTGTTTTGAACTTGGTATTTTCTTTCTGGTACACCCTGTATATTCGTTTTCTTTTGTGTCCTTGAAAATTTTGCTTCAACTGTTGTTTTTAGGATTTTCCTTTTTGCACTTTGAATTTTCTTTCTGAAACACCCTGTATATTAGTTTTCCTGATCCTCTAGTGATAAGGAGCGACGTTTGTAGTGATAGTAATAGTTTTTGGTTTGCACTGTAAATTTTCCTTTTGTAACACCCTGTATATTTGTTTTCATTTTCAATCACATAGAAAATAGGCTATTTGCTAATTTCATTATCCCGGTAGGACTTTACAAAGTAGTACTTGTTTGCATGTGCGCGACTATGCAGGTCGTAAGTCCTGCTGCAATATGGCGGCACTTATTCTGTTGACTTGTAAAATATAAACTTGTATTCTATTATAAATAAATAAATAGTAAGATATATTTACTTCTTTGATTTGTGCGTACCCCTTCTATCATTACAGGCAAAGGTCTCTAAGAAAGTTTCCTCTCTCAGAGGATGATCCCACTATAAAAATTGTTAAGGTACTAAACTTGTATTATATTACATTGTGTTTATTAATAAAGAAATGTTAAGAAATAGCATGTCTTATGCTTTGAATGTACCCCTTCTATCATTTCAGGTACAGGTCTCTAAGAGAGTTCCCTCTCTCAGGGGATGATCCCCTCTATAAAAATTGTTAAGGTAACCTGTATGATTTGTGTGCTCCATCTTTCATTTCAGCTATAGGTCAGAACTTGTAAGAATATTTTTAAGTGTCGCCTCTCTTGAGACGACTTAAAACTTAGAAATATTTGAACAAGACCTTATAAGAATTGTCCTTATAAGGAGTTCCCCCTCTCTGGGGGTGATCCCCCACCATAAAAATTGTTGATATGCCTGATAATTTCGGGGATGAAGCGCAGAGACATCGTAGCTGTAGGTTGGGCCGGGAGCAATGGAGGCATCGAAGCAGTGGGCGATCGACTAGAGCGCCGGAGGCGCTCTGGGAGATCGACCTGTGACTGTGACTGTGACTGTGACTATAACGACACGTGCCAAAAAATTTAAAAATTCCGTCACCCCTATTCTCTCTTTCTTCTATCTCCTCCTCTTCTCTACTCTGTTCTCTACTCGGTTCTCTTCCTTCTTGCCTTCTACTCTTCTCTGCTACTCCTTTGCTTCTTCTATTTCTCTGTTCCCGCTCCTCCACTTGCTTTCATATTTCTCATATTGCCTTCACTTGTATTTCAATTTCTCTTATATTTCGTTGCAATTCATATATGCAACCCAAATTTCACCTGATATTTTTATATTTGAGAAAAATGCCTGCTATACCTGAGATTCGATCCGTGTCTGCCAGCATGCCAGCAGGTGCACGTCTCCACTCGACCACCGAGTGTTTTTATTATTTATATTTGATCCTTCTATTTATGTTTCTACTTTATTCAACTTTTTAAAAACAACAACACAAGCCTTGGTTATAGCTATGTTTCACTCGCTCCGCGCGCATAAGATTTATATGCAATATGACTTAAGACGTCAATACTGAAAACGAGAAAGAGGATACCACGAAGAAATATGAATAAGTTTATAATTTGACATTGTGTTTTATTGACAATTAGTAACATTTAATAATTGACATTTAATAATAGATACATTATTTTAAATAAAATAATATCGACATCTAGCAAATTCGGAAGCAGTAAAAACTTGCCTTAAAATACGCGCATCTCCAACACATCCGTCATAGATATTGCAAATTTCAAGGTTCGTACACTCTGAAACTTATTCCCTGTGCACCAACGTTCTCTATTTTCAGGAATAAATTATAACGACGGACACACGCTGTGCACATGTACTCGTAGATTAACACGAGTGCAATAGAATTCCATACGCGAAAAATATTCACCGTCGGCCGACGGAACCTCACACGCGCACAGATGAACTAATAAACTTTTAACGCGTGGTATCACACTAGCGAAACCCCGTTTACGCTCGATACCAATATATGCCGTCGTTTGTTTATGAAATATAAACTGATTTACTTAATTACAATTTGAAAGAAGGAAAATGGTCGCGATAAACCCGCGCTATCCCGTCCGTGGTCGGAATAAAACTGCACACAGTCGACGGCCACAACACGCGGTCGCTATCAGTATTGCGATACAATCGCAGAACAGAACCAAAAAAATTGTTTACATACAAGCACTGACGCTGCTATGCGAATATTTAAACTATGACTGGGCAGCAGTGCCAGACAAAGTCGGAATGCCGTTCAAAAGTGGTATACCGATTCTTTTCTATTACAACTTTTAAAATTAAAATTGCTGAAATTTGTGAACAATTTCAGCACATTTCCCACCACTGGACGGACTTCGAATGAAATCTATTCGATTAGACAACTTTTCTTTTATAGTCAGAACTAAAATCGAGCGAAAGAAACACGAGGTAGGTTCTGTTTTCCAGTGCACTTTGCAGATGTAATCAAAAATGATGATCTTGTACAATGATTTAAAGACTGTTCGCAATTCTTGACGAAGTCCAAATAGATTTTATGAATTCCCAAATAGAAACTTAAAAAACATAGTGCAAATTGCAACAAGCTGAATAACAAAACAAACCAAATGTAAACAAACCAAACGCAAAACTGAGGTGAAAACAGATTTGAAAATTGTCACGAACGACGCGCGTGGCGCCATCTAATTGTGACGACTCGAACTAGTAGGTCGGTAACAGAAAACTGCAATTTATCATGCTTAGTTGTTTTAAAAACCAAAATACACAGATTTCCTATGTACCGGATGCTATTTTCGAATATAAACAATAATTTCACATATTTCACATTTATTATGACATTTTCATTAAATATATTATGAAAACAACGTCAGTACCATAAATCAGAACTTGGTCGTAACAAAAAATCGCGTTTTAAATACATTGTACGTCCTTAAGAGCATTTATATAATATGTACGTCTAAAATAAATATTTACAAAACAAATAAATGAATAAAAGAGGCAATTTTACGAATATAGAAAATGGTTAAACGTAAAACGCAATAAGTCATATTGTAGTATAAAAAAGTTGACGCGCTGCGCGTAACAATCTCGTCTGTTCCAACATCCTCACATCTCTCACATTAAAGTAAGCAATATCATCATTAAAGCACCTTCCGTAACGCCTCGTGACCAACGAAGCATTCCAAATGCACATCAAGTGCATTCCTTATCAAGTTGCCTTACAACTAACAACATATTCGACAACTAGTAATACATTCATTTGTTTTTAGAAGAAAAATCTGTGATGGATGTAATGAATACTGCTTCAATCAAATCAAATCGAACTAAATAAGTAGTGCCGAGTTAGACGAGCTCGTCCTCGGTGCGATTCAGTCTTTTTGCATTACTCGCCTCATCGGAGTAAACCTGCTTCGGCGGCAGATACAAACGCAGCGTCAGCCAAAACTGCTCGTTATGCTCGACGCCCGTCCATTGCACGTGCACAATTTGCTTGAACAAGGAAACGAATGTTTCACCCAGATCGTTTTTCGTTTCGTTCGTGTTCTTCGGCGCATCCGCCATCATAACACACGTGAATTGCGCATTCAGACTGTTGAGTTGTTTGAGTGCCTCGTAGAGCGTCGGGGGGTCCCATTGTCCTTGTACGGATTCCGGGGAAAGCACAGCGACAAGACGTCGACTCTTTTTTGCTGCTTCCAATAAATCAGGAGCCCCTGTAATCAAAAACAAAAAACAAAATTATTACAAAACTCTTTAAAAAATAATTTCATACCAACTTACATAAACTAATATTCCTCGGTAATTCATGTGATTCACACGCGTAATTAAACGTGCGCTCTAATGTCGGCAATAAAGTCTCCAACGTAAAAGTCTTATCCGGCGCCGTGTACGCAATCAAAACATCAACGTTCTTCCCATCATTGTGCTCCAAATTACCAAAGCGATCCTTGAATTTTACGCGCAACTTCAACCCGAATCGTTTATACAGCACGAAACTGGTGACGCACAACATGACGATTGTTACCAAAGCCCAGAAGACTAGATGTGTAAACGACGTTGAACTTGGTGATAAATACTCCACACAGGCTGTAAAAACATTAACATCACAATTAGCACCGCATTAATAAAAACCCATCCATTAAATCTATTAAAAGACTATTACCTCTTTCGGTAACACGAACATATTGGCGAATATCTTTGCCGGGTTTCTTGATGACGCATACATAACGCCCGAAGGTGTCGGCGGTGACCTCTTGGATATTCAACAACGCACCAGCACATTGTTCATCTTCCCTGCAAGCATAATTCAAACAATATGTTATAACAGTTCAACAAACTAGATTTGTATGGAAATGGAAATTCCTAGTTGTACAGAGTAAAAATGAGTCATGAGTGTGCAAAAACGTTCAATACATTCTGTTCCCGACTTGTTACTTAATAGCTTTTCGCAGAATTCATATTTAAAAGAAATATTATTACAAAAAACTGTATCATAACTTGTATATTATGCCAACGCCAAAAATAATTTACCTGGAAACTTTCTGTGTGTGTTTATCACGAACTTCGGTGCCATTCGATAGAATTCTCGCCCAGTATGCGTCGTTGTATGCATCCGGGAGATGATCCAGTGCACCTGTGGGTAAAATAAAAATAATAAATAATAACAAATGTGAAATTCATTAGAAAACGCTCTTAGCCTTTTTGTTTCAATTGTTACACGTATTCTGCGTCGTATATTCGCGAGTAAAGAGCGCCACGAGTATTATTGACGCATCAAATGCAGTACCGAGAATCGCATTTTGCATTTATGTTGTGCACGTCTCTGCCAGTCGTGAAAATAATCAAAGCTCTTGCCAACCAACACACACACGCGCAAATCCCCGGACTGAATTTTCCGCCGACTATTTCCTATCATAGGGTGTGTATAATTAAAAACGTGGATGGTATACAATGCGATGCAATCAATCAATCACTGGTTGGTCTGGTGGATGATTGAACAATTTATCTGTCTATCATAAGTACGCGAAGAGTGCGCGCGGATGATGTATTGTGCATTATTGATTGGATTCATCGGAATTTCCACATGCCAAATTGCGTTCTGCATGGCAATACGACTGGGATGGGCGCATGCAATGGAAATTTTTATCTGCGTCTAGTATCGACCATGTCACACTATTAATAATGTCGAACATCAAAGAATCTGGTTATGAGAATCACGCACATGACGCAGCTCGACGTTGAAATTTTTGAAAAAACAGCGTAAAAGAAGAGGAAATTAATTTTTCATGCAAGTCACCCGAGTGGTTTTATTTTCGTCTTAATAGAATTCTATATAAATCAAAAAATGATTTTATTTTTAGTTTATTTTAAAACAATTTCCGAATTAATTTAATTAATTAACTGGAACGCGATTAAACAGGAACTCCACGCCGTAAAATGACAATTTTAACAAAGCGAATTACGGATTCTCTGAATATGGAACACGAATACCGTGCAAAATGACAAACTGCGAATGCATTGCTTCCCCGAACTATTTCATCGCATATATCTCGATGGAGTGGATGTACATTTGTAAATAAATTGCAATAAAATATCGACGTGCGTCAGAAATATCGAACAAATAGTTAAATACAGATTAAACTAGAATATAAAAAATTATCGCTAACAGTGCGCGAACACTTACCGACAAAAGCTTCGCAGAATAATCGTAAATCATGACCGACGCTGACTTCTGTATCCTCTGAGACGTACGTCAATTGTGGCTCATCGGGTGCTTTATCTGTAAAAACATAAATAAACATCATTCACAAACAAATTAATTGGATATTTACATGTTTTTTGTATTTTTTAAATTTATTTTTATATTTTTTGAGCTTTTTTTTAATTTTTGTGCATAAATATGTAAATTATTCATTATTTTAGGAAAAATCATCGCTGGTGGTACATTTTTCTGATTGAAAACGCTTCAAAGTAAACACAATGCAGACGATTACAAGGAGTGGTATCAATTAATCGGAGCATCTGCAGGAAGGCGCCGAAGGATCTTATTGAATGACTCGTCGAAAATCACGAGCAGCGGAGGCCTGCGGACGTTTTACTGCAAAATTCCTGGTAGCACAAAACCGCACAACGTCGTATCATCATCATCATCATTGCCGTTTTCTCTTCACGGCTTCCTTTTGCATGTTTTCAATTTCTCGCAAAAGTCGTTCGTCATTGCGTCGCGACCACAAACTCATTTCAGACTAAATTCTGCGATCGTTTAATTGCCTGCGAATTGTACACCGGTACCGCAAACTGCCACCATTCACCCGACAACAGACTGGCTTGAGTGCTACCGTTTCCCTTTGACATAATGGCCCCAGAGTTTATAATTACCCCAATTATTTCCCGACCGCAAAGTGCCCGAGTGAAAATCGTTAAACTTTTACTTAACCTTAGTGGATAACTACTATCACAACGTAGACAACCAGCAGTGATTGTCTATCTACCAATTTCTAATAAATTTGATGACAAAAATTATGAGACAAAACGTCCGGCACGCTAAGCAAATGCACCGACATCATATACTGATTATGTATTCAACTTAAAAGGCGCACATGCATGACGGCTGGCGGTTGTTTTAAGCTCTTTGGGAACAAATTACAGCGCGCAAGAGCCGCAACCTGCTGTGCGCGCCTTCGCGTGCAACGCAAAAACTCTATATGCATAACAAAAGCGCGAAGCCCACCTCTATTGTCATTCATTGGCGGGGCTGTAATTTGTACGTTTTGCATATGTTCCGACCAGTTTCACATCGTGCAAATGCCATTTCCATTCATAAATTATTACATATAGTTTCGACACAGGAATAAAAAACACTTTAAAACACAAACCCTATGCACTAAGAGCGTAATTTTGTGGTTATGTTGCCCCTGTATATTTAATTTACATGTCTGGCAATGCGTGAGTGCTCATATCAACTATTTTATGCGTAGGCTAAAACGAAAATTAATGCCGTGTCATGTTTGATTATACAGGTTATGTAGATTTACAAACATGTTGACAATTGACATTTTTCCAGCGCGTCAAACAAAATTGAGGTTAGATTACGTTGAATTCTTGCCGTAATCAGCATTGTTTGTTGTCCGGAGAACAAAAGCGATGTAATTTTGAACGAATTCGTAGAAAATGCATGCGGCGAGAGTCGTCGAAGGGAAAAATACAACAAGGCAATTTCCGATTAATATTTCAGGCAAATTGAAATGCAATTGGCCTCAATCACGTCAAATTATTTTCAAAAATTATTTTTAAAAAAACACCGTCTACGGATGTTAGCAGATAATAACTGGTTGAAATAAATAATTTATTGACTTTTATCGACCTAATTTGAACGCGTTACCTCGAAGCAAGTTCTTTCATTTACGATACGCCATATTTGATGACGCGTGGTCGTTGGAAACACACTCCGGCTTGCAATTTCATTAAATATTTTCTCTTTCTCCCTCCGCATAGAAGCCGGGGAATAAATAAAGTCAAAATGCATCAACAAAACTTCATTCAGATTAAATTGCCTGCGTTCGAATAATGGTAGTAGGCAGCCCGAGAGTTGTAATAATCCTACGTCGAATGCAAACCGTAAACTTATGTTTTCATTCACTTTCTTCGTGTATCTCCGCAGAATATTTATAAGTGGGCCGGCCGGGCGCAGAGTAATTTGTAAAAGCCGACAATTTGAATATTTATAATTCGTAATATACTGTCGCTGTCAATGGGCTACCGTTTTGGCCGCGAGTGTGCCTCGTTAGGCGCAATTTAGCAACTCACCGTATACTTTTAGCGTGATGGTGTGCACGTAGTAGTCGGTGTCGTTGCGCACGATGCACGTGTAATTGCCGGCGTCCTCGGGGGTCACGCGTTGCGTGTAGATGGTTTGGTTAACGCTTTCTGGGTACAGGATTAAGCCGGATGATGCTGACTGCCATGGGTATGGTTGGTTATCCTTCAACCTGAAAATAAAATAAATCACACGTAAATAACACAGAATATTCAATCAATTAGTTGATTTATAAAAATAAATATAAAAAAAATTCAACAAAATATAAAAATTTAGATAACAGCTAAAATATGAAGCAAAATAAAGATAAAGATGAAAATATATCAAAACATGTGTAAAATTCGCTAGAATTTAATCACGTGATGATAAAATAAATAAAATTTGATAAAAGTAAACATTTAGTTTGTAGTTTATCAACGTAATTACTCATTTCTATTTTTAGATTATAGTTTAATCAAATTTTGATATAATTCCAAGTTAAATAGAATTTTATAGATAAAAACTTTTAATCCAAAAATAAATATTAAGTGTTCTGCTGATAAAAAATATTCGGCCAACTCTACTAGAGATTTTATGAAAAACAAATGTTTTTTTATGATTATTGAATTCCATTTATGCAAAATTTAATGGATCCACTCATAATTGTGTTTGTCGCAAAATGTAAAAATACCTTTACGCCGAAACAATTTCTCTAATTGTATTGCAATTAATTTGAGTGATGTAACAATCCCATCCCAAATGCGATTGTGAATGCGATACCAATATAAACACAACATGACGTAATGATTTATTTAAAACAATTTCAATTAGTTGATGATGATGCTTTGATGCGATTATGATGCATATCTTTCTGCGTGTCGTTGACGACGCATGTGTGTTCGAAGAATCGTCGATTAGTGTGTCCGCGACACGAAACACAGCGCCTATGCCCCGTACACAAATGACAAATAAACAAAGCCGTTAATGGTTTCCTCGTACGCGGCAAAGTAAAATTGCAGCAGTTCTTCCCGTCGCCAGTGCCGCGAATGTCGAAATGCGAAGCGCAGTCAAATGCAGCAAGCGAAATGCTGAAATAATGCACACTTGCGTTCGCTGGAAAAGCGGCCGGTGCGCCGCACACACTAGGAAAAATTAACGCTTTAACACGCACGGGTGTAAACGCACGTAATGTCCAGTGTTTTAGCGCGCGAGCGGCCGAAACGAAGCGTCATGTAAAATTGTAAACATTTGTTCGGGCCGGTCGGTTGTGTTTCTCTTGTTAGTGTTGTTCCCAAGAGTAAGGAACATGGCGGACGCGGCGAGTGATCGCGAAGCACATTCTTTTGAGGTATTGCATTCGAGCGTTGAAAATTACACGCGGACGGTGGAGGCTTTTGTTTTTCTAATTCGTTGAATTTGTTCGAGGTTTGTCTCGGTCCGGTTTCAGCCTAACAATACCACATCCTTTGACCTTTTAGTTAGTGTGTACCAACGGGCAAAACAGGGTTTTTCTTCATTTATTTGTTATTATAAATGAATTACCGACAAAAAAGAATATCCAGAGATTTGTTACCAAGTTACAATCCACTAGGATTAAAAAAAGTGAATGTTGTTTGTTTGTTACTCGTTTACACAAAAATGGCTGAATGAATTTTCATTAAAATTTCCAATTTTATAGAATATTTATTAAAGTAGGATATAGAATAATTTTTGTTGGAAAAATAAAACTTAAAAGGTGTAAAATTAAGGATTAAAGTTGTTTTGGAGATTTTATCATAGTTTTAGCACCAAAACTCGAACACAGATGGCGCAAAACGACATATTATCACTTTTTGAACTTAAAAAACTAGAAAAACCTCGAAATATATTCAAAATTTTAACTTTTTTGGCCCGCAAATAAAAAATAAAAACTTTTTCTCTTCTAGAATCAATTCCTATGAAGTTTCCTATATTATCCAACAAAATAAGTCCGTAAAAAAGTGTTTAAACATGAAATTTGCAATGAAACTATGTCGAAAATATGCGCGATGAGTTTAGTTTATTGCAAATACGGTAGCCACAGTGTGAACACACACGAACACGCCGCCGATGCAATAAACGTGCGACGCAACGCACTCTTCCAGGAATCGTGCGGTAATTACCCACTCGCTTTTTGCATTCGCACTTGCTCTTTTCCACATGTACGTCCATTAAAAATGTCGCTAATTGTATAGCGCTCGCGCGCGTATTTGTTTCGTTTTCTGCGTTCTCCAGACACTTTACATTCGCTTCTTTTAAATCGTGCGCTCGCAAGAGACTTGCTCAACAAAATGTGTAAACTAACTTTCAACAACACATATGCAAATACATTGTTTACATTACATGTAAAATTAGTATTTATGCGATTCTATTGTTTCTATTTCCGTAATAATTGAAGAAATAACCGACCGGAAGTGCAATGTGCAATGTGAATAAAACACATTCATATATTCACATATTTCGTCGAAGACCTCCCAGTGGAGTGAAGTGCTTCGAGATCATTGTGTGAGATATGAACATGAATCCTCAGTCGAAACAGCATTCCACTGCGCCGACTTTTTTTTACATTCATACATCAAGAGACACATTTTGTTCCTTCTAAATGTTGCAACAATTGTTTTGCATGCAGTCACGCGAGCAAATTATTGTCGGTCGTTAGTTCGTCTCGCACGATACTAATTAGCGCTAAGAAGCAAGCGACGATTTACTCTTTAGCGCGCGGAGTGTTTTATTTTACTTTTTATGTTTTTTCTGCGCTGCGCAGATAAAACAACGCAGTGCGCTTTTCTTTCCCTTCTGCGAAAATGGCAAATCGAATGCGAGTAATTAAAATAGTCGAGTGCGAGTTAATTGCGCTTCTTATGAAATTCTCCGCCCGACTTTTTGCGTGCGCCTTTTATTTTTAGCACTGCTGGATTTTTACGCGGCGCTGCCGAAGAATAATGAGCGAGAGAAGTGAGAGAGAACTGGTTTGTGGTGCAGTGGTGGTCGATGGGGACATCTCTATACCTCCTCGTTGCGGTGTTTGTAGAAAAAGGATACGACAAGCGTGTTGTGCGACATGGAGATGTACAAAACGATGCGCCGCGGCAAAAGCGGCGCAAGCCAAAGACAAAAAACTCTATTCTCAAGCGGCGCAACATCAACGTGTGTGTAGGTCGGTTAAGTGCTTCGTTTACTCGGTAGATATTGTGAGAATGTGGGAAATAATATTGTGCGAAGCCGACACAGAGAGAAATACGTTGATTGATATAAAATAAAAATTTAAGCAGATTATTGTCAAGTCCCTCTTGAACAACACATATAACCAACCATTTAAACATTCAGGGAAGCACAAATATTGACGATTGGTGTTTGATGTGTGCTCCGTTCTGTTTGAAAATCCTGACAAAGCTTTTACCGACCGGAAAGTTTACGGACAAAGAACATTTCTTCATGTTAAGTCCTTAAAAAAAGTACAAATTTGCAAATTTAACACACAAAAAAACTCAAAAAATAAAAAAAATGAAAGAAATTTTCAGGTAAAAAAAATAAAAACGATAACGATCTCTGTCTCCCTGACAGCTTAAAATAAGCCCTCACGCCTTGTGCCTATATATCACCTTGAAGATGTGTCAACAATTCAACATAAACTGACCTGGACGGTACCCACGTGTAGGAGCTTTAGTTTTATCACACGATTTGCTATTTTCATCTTCAATTCTCATTCTCATTCTCATTCTCTCGCGAGAGTATATTTTCCTTTGAAACATTTGGCGCCCTGTGTTGTTCCAGCCAAGGGTAGGTGTTTCCGAGAAACCCACCCCTGGCATTTGTCCATTCACCGACTGCGCATTCCCGAACGCTTTGATGTTAAATTCACAGCGGCGATGCACGCAATTCGAGTGGAATCGACTGGTTAATTGAGCTCTGCGTCAAATAGCGCTGTGCAAAAATCAAAATCGATTGATGTTCGAATGTGTTCTGTTACATCACAAAGGCTGTAATCAAACAATAGTCACATTGTGTACAATCGCAGTGTAATCATTCTCGGAATCCACCCAAACCTAGAACAATTGGTAATAGAAGTCGGCGTGGGCCTGAAAACTATTGAAGTGTTAAATATTAACTAGAATCTATTTAGTACAGGTGTCCGTTGCGCATCGTTTAATAAAAGAAGAAGAAAAAACACAACTCTCACAAGTTGTTTCATTCTAGTGACTAGTGTTTAGTGACGATAACGAATTGATTCGTGTATGGTTGTATCGCTGAGTCATTTAAATGAATTTAATGTTAATGTGTGTTAAAATGTCAAGTGCACATCAAAATCATTCAAAATCAAAGTTTGCATACTGTATAAATATGTGTGTGTATATATTCTGATAATTTCCGAGAATGTGTTGTTATTAAATTCACTTGAAGCGCTTGAAGTTTCGCGGTTGTGCGCTGCGTGGGTAGAACAGTTACGCACAGACGTTTCGTCGCGTAATTAAATTGGCGCAAAATTCCGCGTGTGGCCGGCGGCGGCGGCGCGCACATCGGTTGATGAGACTCTTTTCTCGGAACGCCACAGGAAGTTTTGCGTGCGCGCGCGCCGCGCCGCTTGCCGTTTTGTGTTATTTCCATAAACCGATAACAATCATGCATCGTCGCGCGGAGACGCGGGAATCCGGGTGGGTACGTGTCCATATTGCGCGCAGGAAGCGGAGAAGTTCTGACTTCCTGCAGGTGATGCCGTTTCGTTCTTAATTGAATACAAATAACAAATATTCACAAAGGTGTGTTTTTATAACTTCGCAATCCAATAAAAATAATTAAAAATTTAAAACTCAAAAAGTAAAGTTCATAAAAATTACAGTTATCTACTTTACCGACTTGTTTCAAGAGATAGCTTTTGTTTTGCTTTTGTTAATTAAAAGCAAATACCAAAATTAACACCCGAGTGTATTACCAACTTCACAATTCAATAAAAATAATTAATACCTAATTAAAACTCTCAAAAAGTACAATTCATCAAAATCCCAATTAAAAATATTTACAGTTATCTACTTTACCAAAAGTTCTATTCTAAATTTTGCTCAAACAATGTGCTAAGTAATTACAGATCTCTCCGAATTCCCCAAGATGAGTCTAGTTACCTCGCCGCTCTGATTGTACAACACCGGTCAAGCCTGTCAGACGCATCCTGTAATTACCTAAGCTAACAAGCATTCGCCAACGTAGTTAACCCGGAACTAAAGCACAATAATTCCAAGATTATTCCAACTGTATTGTAAATTGTAAAACCTACGTCCTCGTTTCTTGAATAACTAATTCCATGAATGATTCAATTCGCCTTTGATGTTCTATTTTACAACCAGATAATTACCAATAATTAGTAAAATCGATAATTACGAAACGAAAGGATGCGCGTTATCTGCGATCAAAAATTCGTAGAAAGCCATCAAAAGTTATAATTGAACGGTGCAGGTCAGGATAGCGCCCACAAATACAGCCGTAGATTAATTTGTAGGACGGATCCGATAAAAGGATCGAAAATTAACGACGCTGCTTCGACGTTTAGCGCAGCACACATATAATTATACAGGGCGGTGCAAAACCATCACAACTCGTGAAACCCGTCGTCATCTTATATATAACAAGATATAAAACGAATTAATTTTTATGCTTGTGTTATACACGTGTTTTCGTTTTGCGTTTATTTTTTCAACCTGGGCAACTATTGTCGGGTCGGGTTTTGGGCGATAACGTCATCCGGCATTTTTCGGTACCGTCTAGCTCTGAATCAGCCTCAATGGAATCTCGACGGTGTGCATCTCACAAAATGTGAACAACAAAACATAAAACCATAATGTGTTTGTGTACGGACAAGAAACGACAAGTTTTTAACTTAATTTTACAAGTCTGAAACATGTTGAAGTGAATTTCTATAAATTTACATTTGCGGCCATATTTCAACCGATACCTTTTACTATTTGTTTAATTACAGTGTAAAACGTGACTCACCTAAGAATAAACTGACATGGATGATTCAAGTATTATTATTACATCATTTTATAGTAGTTTTATGCAACTTTGCACTAAAATTACTTAAAAATTTTGTGTAAAATTTTAATGTTTTTTGTTTTAATTTCAGAGGCGACAAAGGTAAAAATAAGAAATAAAAAATGAAATAAACCAACAACCACTGTGAATGTGAATAATCCAGCGGTTGAGCGAGGAATTCGTAGATGGGATGTTAAGATGTCTGAACGAACGCAAATCCGGCGACGAGTCGCCGGTTACAAACGAAACCAACAAGTGGTAACATGTAACATGTAAAACAAGCATACAGGGTGATTAACACCATTAAAATAAACAAATATTGCACAAGATTATTAAAATTATTAAATGTCACCGCAATATAAATAAATATTTCTTAATTCTATCAAATGTTAAGTAAAAACATCTTAAAATTACAGTTTTTGTGTTTTTATTTTGTGTTTGTGTAGAAATAATAGCAGTATCGTCATTACCGCCATTACTCCGGTATTACCCGTCGATGGCCGCCGGTGTCTTTTGTTCCGAACCGTTTTCTCGTCCCCGTCGGCATTGTCTACGTGCGCTCGTGGAATTTTCTAACATTAAACTAACCGCTCGCTCGCTGACTAATTGATTTAATCGTCAACCACTCTCCGTGCTCCATATTGCAATCATCCGACGAGAATTATTCCAAGAAACGTTCTGTTTATACGCACACACATGGCACATGGCAATTTTATCTAAATTTAGCTTACCGCGCGTTATAAAAAATTATTATTTATTTATGCTACCGCATGGTATAAGTAACTTTGTAATAAACTAATACGAGTAATTTAAATAATTACACGTGTAATTACATATCGGCCACATTTCCAAACATCATTAAACTAATTTACGTGTAACACGCGTGTGTTGACTTTAATTGGTGCGCAATAAATATACTTAAGTGACAACTTATTGTTCATTAAAAGTATTAAAATCTTCGTTTTGACGTTAATTTTGTTCCGAGAAGAAAATGAAAATATTAATCACCGGTGCGAGTCACGTGAAGATTAATATTCAATCAGTGTCTTTGCGATGCATAAACAATAAACAGAAATTATTAAAATTGACAGCTATGGATTTCCTCCAAGATTATTCTTCTTGATGCATACTAATTTTTACATATCCGCTGAATAAATCACATTAAAATAATATTTTATGGTTATGTTGGTGTTGATGACCATCAACGCCCTCTATGAATTTTTTTTGTAATTTTGTAAGACATAACCTTGATATTAATGATTTTTCTACACCCAAAAATAACACAATTGAATATTTATTAAAATATCGATTCAATTTTCGGCGAAACGAGCCGGTGTGGTGTCACGTGGCGTTCAATTTCCATCAACCTACTAAATCTAATCCCACTTTCGATCGTCTCGGCTTACCGCCACCCCGGGGCCGCGCAAAAAAGTGCAAATAACTGCGTCGAGCATTTCGTCATGCGCCACTACTTGAATTACAATCACAATTGCTGCCCTACTCATCTTACAGCCACGCGGTTTATATTTAAATTCGTATTATGGACGCGCATTGGGTATGGACGGGTATTCTCGCGTTCATGGGCGGGCGTGTTAATTTGCAACGAGAGCTTGATTCGTTTTGCGGTGTTTTAATTTTAATAGCAGCGCAATCGGATATGCGGAGATTCGATATGGCATAGGTCATAGTACCATATTACATAGCAAGAGTTGAAAACAATAGATTACATAGGGATATACAGGGAAAATACTGTGTAATGTAATAAAACATTATAAATATCACGAAGTCTCCTTATAGCGAGGAAAAGTTTCATAGAAGAACAAAAATAATCAAATATTGAGATTTTACACGGATCTGTATCTGTCTAAAGTGTTTATAACTAAAAATTCAAGATTATTTCTCGTAATTTCATCTATTTTAAAGATTTTTGGCATTTTTGGAAGGATTTTAATCCATTTCAACGAAAATATCCATAAAATACAAAGAAAAACATTATTTTCTTTAGTAAATTTCTGTTTTTGTACTCAATTTACTGCATCTTTGAAGAAAACCATGAAATTTTATTTTTTCCATTAATTTCTTGTAGTTAAAAAGACTTTTAACAAGCTTTAATGCCAGAATTATTGCAAAATGTAGTATAATCTCTTTATAACGAAGTTTATAAAGATGTCGTAACATCGAGGAACAAAATATAACCAAATATTGAGCATTTAAGCGGATTTGCATCTATTTAATCTTTTGTAAGCTGAATATAAACTCAATTACTCTAGTATGAATACCGGTAAATATTTCCTGAATTCTAAATATGGATTCCGCGTCGCTCAGTTGTATTCACTTGTGTTATGTTTAAATGATTTTGTAGTAACGCAACGTGCACCCCAAGAAATTAGCTGAAAAATCGTGCTTAAGTTATAGAAATTTGCATTGCAATTTGTAGGATGTTGGAATCATAATTACAACAATATTTCAAATATTACCATCGATGTCATGTCTTTGAAAAAATATTCTAGCTCATAATTTCAAGAAATTTACAAATTTCTCCATTATTCTTAAAAAATCAATATTTTAACTAAGATATTTATCTGTCACCAAGTAAATTCAATAAAACAATTGATTACACTTCCACGCCGACGAAAATAAAACGCAAAATTTCCTAGTATTTCCTAACGTGTAAATGGATCATCTATTTCCGGTCGTACTCCACGTAAAATACGTTTTTCTTAGATATTTGATTTCGCAACGTGTTTCCAGAAACACGTCCATGCATCGCGCGATGAGTGATTAACGATTTCGTAAACAATTTATTACTTCAAACCACTGTAAATAAATACATAGCGAAAACCAAAGTGATTGCACATTCTACGTACTCACCGCAAGCGAAAGTTAAAAAAAACATTACAACGTTTTTTTTCATAGTTAATATTTCGTAGACTCATAAATCAGGAAACATAAAAATAGCATCATAAAACCGAGATGATGACTAATGTCTACATTTGTAGTTTCCAATAACGCAATAAACACAAACGCAGTGGTAGTGGTAAAGCAAGCAGCAACATGACGTGAGTAAAATTCCGAAAATTGCACTTTTAAATCATGTATACAATGTGTTTCATCTGCACACTTACCATTCGATGCTACGATAGCCCTTCGCGCAACAATGTAACCCTTTGAACATCCCGTTGATGGCAAATTCAGCGTTTGCTACTTCCTTGATAAACTGCATATGATTACCAGTCACGTTAAATGTGTTATGTTTACACTCGTCGTCGATAGCAGCGACAACATTCAGCAGACACACACTGATCACTAATTTTAGTAATAATAATAAAAATGTCCGTGCCATTTTGTTACAAATTCAATTGTTTGCAATAATTTCAACTATAAAATTCACAAAATGTTATTTTCTTGTTTTGTTAAGAAAATAAAAATATCTTTCACATGTTTTATCTGTTTATCGATTGTGAATGCAGATAAGCCGCGCTTGAGAAGTTCACGTGGTATCGCAATGTGAAAGTATTTTTAACATGCTCACAGCACGCACGACGAATTCAAACTGACGCGCCGTCGGAGAATCTAGTCGAGTGTGGTCGGGAAAGTGGAGGGGAGTGCACGCAGGCGTGCAGGTAGTGTATGAGTATGGGTAGAATTCGCGGTAACCGTTGATTATCAGAAGCCGGGAAGCCGGTGTTGCACGAGAAGTAAAAGTAGAAGTATACGCTGCGCATGGTAACTGATGTGTTCATCACTCACTGTAGGATTTCTGGGGTTTCTGCGCGCGCCGGGTGTGCAGTCTATTGCTTTGGCATTTGATTTTGAGGGACTTTGCGCCACAATAGACCGACGGCCCCTTTTTCCGAACCGTATAAATTCCCAAACAATATCATCATAAAGTGAATGACACTCGTAAAGTTTCGGGCGCGTTTGACTTCGGGTCGAGAAGTGTCAAGAAAATGATTTGCTGAATTTCATTCGGCGCTGCGTGCGAATATTTTACCTGAAGTTATGAGAAGCTACGATTTGTTTTGTCAGTTTTGTGCTGGCCGAGTGGCGCATCGAATTCGGGGAAGTGCCAACTGAACTGGTTCATACTATTGTTATGTTAATGAGCGCATCGGTGCGAAATATATTAATTTATAGAGAAATTACTTACCGTGACTAGCAACGAAACAATTCACTTGGAGCCATTTTGAATCACGTGTGAATGTTTTTTAGTAGGCAACTTTTTTAACACCACAATGTGTGTGTCATATTGCATACGATTTAATTTATTCTTTGACTTTCTTGTATTATGTCAGTTAATAAATTATAAATATTAATTTTATTTATATTTCCCGGAAGATTCAATATTTCATCCCTTGGTCCGTCCCACTTTTACAACGTGAAATTTATGACTTCAAATTTTGAATATAACTATGTACCGTACAGAATTCAATAAAACACATTTTATGAGAGGGTAGGTTGAAATTTTTATGCAATTCGAAGCCGTCATCGGTATTAACATACAATGACAAGTGTATGCAGATATTTCCGAGTTCCATTTTAATGTGCGCATGCAAATAAACCGTTGAATGTAAAAGTAGGCATTCGATATCGATTTAAAAATTCTTATTAAGGCGGTCGTAGCATAATTTTTACTCGGAATTTGTTCAGGGTGCCGGGGTTGTTCTCAGACAATCGACTATCGATTTGTAATTCCGAGATATCGCTAGGTCACGCCAAATATTTCTTATTTACTATTTACGCACATCATTTTAAATAAAATTTCTAGAATCATAGTGTAACTATAGGCAACCACACATACAGTATATTTAAGGTTAAAGTGGATGCGTCTAGAATTGTTATTTTGCGAAAGATTACAACCGAATTATTATAAATAACAAATACAAATCAGCATTAACAATGTCTCACATGAGTTCTCCATCCGTGGAGCTCAGCTCCTACAGAGATCAGCACTTCAAGGTAAGAAAACTGAATATTCTAAAAACATAATCAAAAACATTGAATATTTTGATACTACAGGGAAGTAGAGCTGAACAAGACAAATTACTTCGTCAATCATGTACTCTCTACGTGGGAAACCTATCGTTTTTCACCACTGAAGAACAAATCTACGAGTTATTCTCACGTTGCGGCGATATTCGCAGAGTTATCATGGGACAAGAAAACACCCTGTGGTTTTGTTTTGTTGAATACTACACAAGACATGATGCTGAGAATTGCTTAAGGTAAATAAAAACATCTAATTTAACATCTCCACAGACTACAAATAAATAAATTATTATTTTAGATACATTAATGGCACAAGATTGGATGACAGAATCGTCCGAACAGATTGGGACGCAGGATTTGTCGAAGGAAGACAATACGGACGTGGAAAAACCGGCGGACAAGTCCGAGATGAATACCGAACTGATTATGATGGTGGACGAGGCGGCTACGGCAAGATAATCGGCCAAAACTCCCCACAGAGCAACATTTCGGAAGATAAAACAAGAAATTCACTAATTTTTACAAAATCATCTCTCATTTTAAGTAATTATGTATTAAAATATATTCCTAATGGTAAAAACGTTTTCAACCCTTAATATTTCATGAATTCAGCCTTGTTCATCTTTTGCATTCATTTCAAACTCTGTTTCTAGTCTTTTACTCTTATACCTCTCCTCAAGTTGGTAAAACTTTTCTTAAACTGTTCGGCCTTTGTTTCGCTGACTTTACACGCGTTTTCATATTGATTCATGCGCTCTTCGTGTAATTCCGCAGCCAAATCGCTAACTTGTTTCTGAAGAATATCTATCGTACGCTCATAGGTGATCGTTGAAATATCCGAATTGTATGTGTTTCGTTCATAATTCGATTCGCTTGCTTTATCCAATGTTATCTCTTTCGCAATAGCGGACAATTCAACGCGTGGTGTTAAAACTTTAACACCAAACTAATAAAGATGACATTCAGCACTCACACTGCTATCTAGCGAATCACCACCACTGCTACATTCAAACCCAATGTGGTCACCCACCGCCATCTCTCAACACCAGCAGCCACTAAATGTCTCACAAGGAAGCCGTTGGGAGGGGAGCCACCCCACCACCCGAGGAAGAATCGAGGCCTCAGCTAACATGTCACTGACTCGTCCATTCCGTTCGAAGCCAGCTTCCAGGGAATACCACAGCGAGCCTACTGCCACTCTACGCACCACGCTACACCACGCTACACCACGTTACGCCACGTTTCACCACACCACGCTACACCACGTTACACCACGTTACACTACACTGCACTACACCACACCACACTATACACAAGGTACGAGTGGACCCCCTTACATTACAAGCCCCATAAGCTAACAATAGCCGCCATGCGGCACAGATCTAACCTCAATCGAACACACTATGCTCATTTGATCGAACACGCTATGCTCATTCGATCAAACACGCATCTCAGACCGAACACGCTATGCTCATTCGGTATCTGCCATCGTCGATACGCTATGCTCATTCGACACCCTCAACATCTCAGACCGAACACGCCTAGCTCATTCGGTATCTGCCATCTTAACCCTGACCCTGAAACTACTTGTTACATTATTCTAGTTCCAGATCACGTTTCTAAACTACAGTCCACATTGCTCTCTAACCCCCGAACATTGAACATAAAACACTTAAACTAAAACGTTTTTACAACTCTCAGGTACATCTCGCATCCACACACCAACTAGGTTATAGGCGGTCGACCCCCCGAGCGACCGTGCCTTCGAGTGCACCACCTGCTGGGATCTAACCACATCAAATACAAATTTATACACGTGGATTGTTTCATCACACATGCTACGATCTGGATTCATCGCGACTATCATAGATATATCTTCGAGTCCTTGCAGTGCTTTCTGGAATAATTGCGTTAGTTTTGACTCGCGGAACGGGATGACTATCTTCGCGCCGGTTTTTGTGCTTTTCGGATTGAACTTATGCATCTACCCAAAACTAACAATGAATTATTGATGTTGTTTGATTCATTTAAACGACACCCGACATTATTTGTCTTCTTGCATCGTTCGGACCCAGCCAAGTCACAGAAATTCATGCTACCAATCACATAATTATTTGATTCGATACTCGTGGATTGTACAAGCGTAATTGTAAAGATACAGTGTGATCTACTAGAGTGTGAGTTCATCGATGTAGCTGCATAGTTTAAATTTAACAAACCATGCTGCAGAATGCAATATGCATCATGACCGTTTGATACATACACTTGTTTCAAGTCTTTAATGTATGTTTCGCCATTATTGTTGTAAATTTTGAGTTTTTGCGTGTTTTTCACCCCGCTTGGGGATTCAAGCAGATCATACACACTTTCATTGTAGATTTTAGCAAAAGAGCAAAAGAATGTGATATCGTAAATACAAAGTTTTCGATTATTCCCGTCTGCTCTTTGTGCGATGCTTCGTAGCTTCCCCCTCCAAGCATAGACGTGTGTATGTGTGTACGTGTGGGTTGAAGTTGACCGGTAGATGTTTTTGTTTGGAGAAGGAAAGTCGCTTTCTCTGTCTGTCCCTTTGTATGCTTAAATCTTTGAAACTGCGCAACGGATTTTTTTAAAATTGCGGACGTAGCGTTTTCGGCGGTGCCGGCCGGCCGCCCGGTGCGGCAAGAGCGTGCCTATAAATAGCGCGTCTGAGGCCGCGGTTTTCCTGTAGCACTTTGAATTTAGCAGCGAAGATATTCCAAAGACAGCAGGAAATCTTCATGGTATAGGAAAGGTGGATAGTTTTACTCCAAATTTAACGCGTGCGGGCCACGGGCAGTAATGAATAAATCAAAAATACTGGATCGATTTTAATCACATAGGCTATATATTTTAAACCCGTGCGAAGCCGTAGCGGGTCGCTATGTTTTTATATACAACATTCACAGTTTTTCTGTAGTGTATTTAGTATCAGTATTGCAACCGTGCGAAGCCGGGGCGGGTCGCTAGTCAGTTATAAAAGTTCAGATCTGCAGAGCAGAATAAAAGAACTCTACAGAATCAAAGGTTCAGTATCCAGTGAATTAAGAGACATGGAACACAAGAGGCAGAAACTCCAACAAGACATACAACTGTATACCAAAAACATAGAACAATTGAAAGCTGAATTGCTACATCAACAGACTGAACTAAACAGATTGAAAATATCAGTGGAGCAAGCCCAGGTAGCTCAAAGGGAAGCCCTGCAACAAAACACACCGGAATTGGCTTTACCAAAGAGACTAACTGCCAATACATTCCCATTGAGTTATCCTGCAGTGAGCAAAGAAGAATCACACACTTGCAGGATGTATAAATGTGTGTCATATTGCATACGATTTAATTTATTCTTTGACTTTCTTGTATTATGTCAGTTAATAAATTATAAATATTAATTTTATTTATATTTCCCGGAAGATTCAATATTTCATCCCTTGGTCCGTCCCACTTTTACAACGTGAAATTTATGACTTCAAATTTTGAATATAACTATGTACCGTACAGAATTCAATAAAACACATTTTATGAGAGGGTAGGTTGAAATTTTTATGCAATTCGAAGCCGTCATCGGTATTAACATACAATGACAAGTGTATGCAGACATTTCCGAGTTCCATTTTAATGTGCGCATGCAAATAAATCGTTGTAGGCATTCGATATCGATTTAAAAATTCTTATTAAGGCGGTCGTAGCATAATTTTTACTCGGAATTTGTTCAGGGTGCCGGGGTTGTTCTCAGACAATCGACTATCGATTTGTAATTCCGAGATATCGCTAGGTCACGCCAAATATTTCTTATTTACTATTTACGCACATCATTTTAAATAAAATTTCTAGAATCATAGTGTAACTATAGGCAACCACACATACAGTATATTTAAGGTTAAAGTGGATGCGTCTAGAATTGTTATTTTGTGAAAGATTACAACCGAATTATTATAAATAACAAATACAAATCAGCATTAACAATGTCTCACATGAGTTCTCCATCCGTGGAGCTCAGCTCCTACAGAGATCAGCACTTCAAGGTAAGAAAACTGAATATTCTAAAAACATAATCAAAAACATTGAATATTTTGATACTACAGGGAAGTAGAGCTGAACAAGACAAATTACTTCGTCAATCATGTACTCTCTACGTGGGAAACCTATCGTTTTTCACCACTGAAGAACAAATCTACGAGTTATTCTCACGTTGCGGCGATATTCGCAGAGTTATCATGGGACTTGACAAATACAAGAAAACACCCTGTGGTTTTTGTTTTGTTGAGTACTACACAAGACATGATGCTGAGAATTGTTTAAGGTAAATCAAAACATCTAATTTATGTACTCACAGACCACAAATAAATAAATAATTACTTTTAGATACATTAATGGAACCAGATTGGATGACAGAATAGTCCGAACAGATTGGGACGCCGGATTTGTCGAAGGAAGACAATACGGACGTGGAAAAACCGGCGGACAAGTCCGAGATGAATACAGAACTGATTATGATGGTGGACGAGGCGGCTACGGGAAGATAATCGGCCAAAAACTCCCCACAGAGCAACATTTCGGAAGATAAAACAAGAAATTCACTAACTTTTTACAAAATCATCTCTCATTTAAGTAATTATGTATTAAAATTTATTCCTAATGGTAAAAAAACGTTTTCAACCCTTAATATTTCATGAATTCAGTCTTGGCCAGCTATTTTGTGTCAAAACCCAACCAAAAAATCACATTCTTCAACGCAATTCAGAAATATTTCGATAAAAAACAAATAAATATTAAAATAGAGATTAAAACAAGTTACTCCAGGGAAGACAACGAAGAAGTCTCATCATCTTCAAAGTCCCTTCGGATAATATTCGAATATCGAATGCTTTGCTCAACTTGATTATCCAGACACGCGTTTTCCTCCATAAGTTTTATAATATCACATTTTTGTTGCTGCAGGAGCTCCTCTTTCAACGCCAGCGACCCACAGAGTTGCTGAATGGCCGTCTGCTGCTCTTCAACCTTTAATTCAAGTAAATATTTCTCCTGTTGCAAATCTGCAAACTCCTTCTGTAATTTATCATAACGCATTGATGTAATGCGTTCACTTATAGACTTATCATTGTCTTCACATGAAGAAATACTTATCACTGAATTATCAGTATCATTGGATGCAAGCGCTTCTTTCAACTCTTGGATTTCCTGTTGTAATGCTTCAATAAGTTCATCTTTTGCATTCATCTCAAACTCTGTTTCTAGTCTTTTACTCTTATACCTCTCCTCAAGTTGGTAAAACTTTTTCTTAAACTGTTCGGTTTTTGTTTCGCTGACTTTACACGCATTTTCATATTGATTCATGCGCTCTTCCTGTAATTCCGCAGTCAAATCGCTAACTTGTTTCTGAAGAATATCTATCGTACGCTCATAGGTGATCGTAGAAATATCCGAATTGTATGTGTTTCGTTCATAATTCGATTCGCTTGCTTTATCCAGTGTTATCTCTTTCGCAATAGCGGAAAAATTCAACGCGTGGATTGTTTCATCACACATTCTACGATCTGGATTCATCGCGACTATCATAGATATATCTTCGAGTCCTTGCAGAGCTTTCTGGAATAATTGCGTGAGTTTTGACTCGCGGAACGGGATGACCATCTTCGCGCCGGTTTTTTGTGCTTTTCGGATGGAACTTATGCATCTACCCAAAACTAACAATGAAGTATTGATGTTATTGGATTCATTTAAACGACAACCGACATTGTTTGTCTTCTTGCATCGTTCTGACCCAGCCAAGTCACAGAAATTCATTGAACCAATCACGAAATTATTTGATTCGATACTCGTGGATTGTACAAGCGTAATTGTGAAAACACAATGGGATCTACTCGAGTGTGAGTTCATTGATGTTGCTGCATAGTTTAAATTTAACAAACCATGCTGCAGAATGCAATATGCATCATGACCGTTTGATACATACACTTGTTTCAGGTCTTTAATGTAGGTTTCTCCATTATTGTTGTAAATTTTGAGTTTTTTGCGTGGTTTTTTCACCCCGCTTGGAGATTCAAGCAGATCATACACGCTTTCATTGTAGATTTCAGCAAAAGAGATCCAAATACTTACATTTGCGCTTAGTTCATCTAAATCTAGAGATGCAACTGATTCTGATGATAAGCGCGTCTGCATTTTTGAATATACAGCTTTGTGTGTTTCAATATCAGCCTGAATCTCTGAGTTGTTGATTAATCTTTCCACTTTGCATACCTCATGTTGTTGTTGGTCATAATCAAGCCATGTGAGGCCTGCACCACCTGATTTTGGTTTTGCAGCTGGATATCTGCTTAAATTCTTCATTGATCTGAATAAATACTCCAAACTTTGTGGAATCATGCCTGGTTCTTCTGTAGTTCCAACAATTGTGTAGGTTTTTCCAGATCCGGATGGGCCATAGGTGAATAGGTTGGCATTAATGCCATTCATGCATTTGAGGACTTTTGTTTTGACTACATTGTTGAATAACTCAATCTGGGTGGCAGTGGTTGGGAAGATTTTCGTGAATGTGTAAATGCGATTCAGATGCTCGCCGTCTTTTATATGCCGGCCTGATGCGGAGCCTTCAGGCACATAACATGTGACAAAGTTTTCTGTTATTTCGTAGAGGTTATCATCATGGCCTGTGTCTTTTATCCTGAGGTAGACATTCAAACTGTCCTGATGGTACAAAAATAAATTGAGATATATTATATAAATAGGTGGAATTTATATGATTGTCTTACTGATTCGCCATCTTGATCGATGAAGGATTCCTCGGGGAGATTTCTCGGCAAAAGATTGAAATTCGCTGGCACGCGTAAGCTGGGATCTCGTGCACGAAAATATGACATTTTAGGAGGCGCAGCCATAATTTCTGTCTACTTTAACACAGAGTTTAAACAAAATAGAATGATACTGAACTAGGAACAAACCACGTGTTTTAAAACAGTTGTGACATTAAACTTGTCAAACTACTTGTAACGGTCGTCAACGGATATTTAACTGACAGGATTTGAAAATCTGATGTCACAGGTTATGAAGGCGAATGAGGCAAACTGATTTAGTTCTTGTAGCCACCACGCGTAAATTCTACAACTAGAGGGCGCTACGTTAATATTAAAACAAACCTAACTAAGTAAAAAAACATAACAAAAAAAAATTAAGCTATCAAAACAAAAAATAAGTGGAAGTAATTTTGTATTTTCCAAGTGTTAATTGCTGTTGCATTGTACACTACCTTCTAAAGACCACACAGATGTGTATACTCACTTTCTTTGTTGCTTCTTCAGTAAACTGTATACAGATACATATCAATTTTGGTCATTCTAGATCAGATCAGAGTTTGTGACATTTTTTCTCATCAATAATCAATGAAAATAGCTTCAAATATATATAAACATAATTAAAAATTACATCTTATTAATTCTTACGCTTGCGCACTTTAGTCCAAATCCTTCTAACCTGTAAACAAGTTGAAACTTGGGATGAGTTTGTTTGTGTAGATTGAACTCGAAGCGCATCTAATAGTCGCTATTAAAACCAAAGTAAACACTGATGCACTCAGTCGGAATAAAAATGCTTATCTCCACACAACAGCAGTCACTCTAAATTCTTGCGCTTAGTCGTTAGTTCATCACAATGGGCACCTCAGACACAGCAACCAGAGAATTTATTCCAAGATTCGGCCACATAAAATTAACCAGGATTATTCCTTTAATTATAATCGCTCTTGTATTGGTCACGTTCATCACTCATCACTATTTAATCGACGTCGAAAAAGATGCCAGTATCATCCACAGTGCCCATTCACATCTGGATTTACCAGAGGAGTCCATCAGTTATAAAAGTGCAGATCTACAGAGTAGAATAAAAGAACTCTACAGAATCAAAGGTTCAGTATCCAGTGAATTAAGAGACATGGAACACAAGAGGCAGAAACTCCAACAAGACATACAACTGTATACCAAAAACATAGAACAATTGAAAGCTGAACTCTTACATCAACAGACTGAATTAAACAGATTGAAAATATCAGTGGAACAAGCTCAGGTAGCTCAAAGAGAAGCCCTACAACAAAACACACCGGAATTGGCTTTACCAAAGAGACTAACTGCCAATTCATTCCCTTTGAGTTATCCTGCAGTGAGCAAAGAAGAATCACACACATGCAGAATGTATAAATGTTTTGATCACTCAAGATGTGCAATGACTTCAGGTTTCCCTGTTTATTTATATGATCCAGACAGATATCCAGTGATGAATGAAGGCTGGGATGTAGATGGATTTTTAAAGACTACATTAAAACAAGTGTTGGGGTACAATCCACATTTGACAACAAATCCTAAAGAGGCTTGTATTTTTATGGTCCTAGTGGGAGAAGCACTGCGAGATTCAGATGATGTCAAAGATGATGGTGAAAACACACAGAAACATTTAAATCTACCACCATTGGATCACAAAGCACTCAAAAAGCTACCATATTGGGGTGGTGATGGAAGAAATCACGTTTTGTTGAATTTAGCAAGAAGAGATTTGTCTGCAACCAGCGGTGACTTGTTTTCGACAGTTGACACAGGTATCAAAATGGCCGCCATGTTTTTTTAACCTATAAAACTTAAACTTTTGTTGGTTACAGGACGCGCGATACTTGTCCAATCAACTTTTACTTATGAACGCTTCAGACCAGGTTTTGACGTAATAGTCTCCCCTGTTTTGGGTCCCCCTGGCGGAGATGTATGGCAAGAATGCGCAAAAATGCTCCCGACACGCCGTAAATACCTCCTGACCTTTCAAGGTGAAATGAAAATCAAACCTAGCGTCGGCGCAAACAATACACCATACGATTATCTCGAATTAAGTAAATTCATCGTGGATCACCTCAAACAAATGACAAAAGGTTCAACATCTGACAAATTCCTCTTTGAGTTCGAATGCAATCCAGCGAGCGATGACAATTTAAACACCGGGCCACAAGACTGGGGTCTATGCGGAACGGACAGCAGTCGTCGCGCTGTATTAAAAGAATCAACATTTGTTTTAATCTTTGCTCCGGGGGTTGCCGACCTTATATCCACAACATTACTACAAGCACGTGTTTATGAAGCGTTGCGCTCGGCTGCGGTGCCGGTTATACTCGGCGGTGATCAAATTAAATTAGCCTATGATGATGTGATACAATGGCGGCGCATTTGTATCTTCCTACCGCGCGCGCGCGTCACGGAGTTACACTTTTTACTGCGCACCATACCGGATAGCGATGTGTTGTTAATGCGACGACAAGGTCGGTTGGTCTGGGAGCGATACCTTGCGTCGGTCCAGAGCACTTTGGACACCGTTGTGGCGGTGCTCAGAGACAGGTTGAATATACCACCACTGCCGGCGGAGACCGTGACGGCCACGTCTGTGTTCAACGAGACGTTCCAGCCGATACAAGTGATTGTTGGGCTGGATGCGGAACAAGATGAAAGTTTAGGACCCTTGGAGCCACCTTTTGATAGTCCTGCGTTCAGGAGGAACTTTAGTTTGCAGTTGACGCAGGGTTATGAGTTGTGGAATGATTGGGGGGATCCGTTTAGGTTGTATCCGACTTTGCCGAATGATCCTCTACTGCCATCGGATGCTAAGTTTGAAGGCTCCGGACGAGGGTTTAGACCAATCGGACAAGGACAAGGAGGTAATTTAATAATCTCTTCTTAGTTTTTTCTCTTAAAAAAAAATTTAACCTCAAAATTCATGTTTATTTAGGTGCTGGTAAAGAATTCTCTGAAGCACTTGGCGGAAATAACCCCCGAGAACAATTCACTGTTCTCCTGTTAACTTATGAACGAGAACAAGTTTTACTTGACTCAATCGCGCGATTAAGAGGCCTACCATACTTAAACTCCGTCGTGGTTGTCTGGAACTCACCTAAACCTCCTAGTCCTGAACTGCGTTGGCCCGATATCGGTGCCCCGCTGCACGTAATCAAAGCACCGCGTAATTCGTTAAACAATCGTTTTTTACCGCTTGAAAATCTGCAAACCGAAGCTATTCTATCTGTAGATGACGATGCACATCTCCGCCATGATGAAATTCTCTTTGGATTCCGTGTGTGGCGTGAGCATCGCGATAGAATCGTCGGTTTTCCAGGCAGATATCACGCGTGGGACGTGAATACGATGAATAGTTGGTTGTATAACTCTAACTACAGCTGTGAGTTGAGTATGGTACTCACAGGAGCGGCGTTTTTACATCGTCATTATTTACATTTATACTGGAAATGGCTGCCGCAGGCGATCAGGGATAAAGTTGATGAGTATATGAACTGCGAGGATATTGCAATGAATTTTTTGGTTAGTCATGTTACGCGTCAACCGCCCGTTAAAGTCACTTCAAGATGGACGTTCAGGTGTCCCGGATGTCCACAGAGTTTAAGCGAGGATGATACACATTTTCAAGAGAGGCATAAGTGTATAAACTTTTTTGCACAGGTATATAACGGATTAATATTTTGAAATTTTTCTAATTGTTTTTTTACTTTTTTCTAGGTATTTGGATATATGCCGCTTTTAAATACGCAATATCGAGCCGATTCGATATTATTCAAGACGCGAATACCACACGATAAACAAAAGTGTTTTAAGTTTATTTAATTGTAATATTATTTATAAAAAACAAGTAACTCCGGCCCTGTTCTCATCACACTGAGATTGTAACAAGACTTATTTTTTACATCCGTACGTAATTGTTATTTATATGTATGTAATTTAATGCTACTCTTCGAATCCAAAGGACACGCGCATGTCACATGTAGGCAACACATTATTTTTTAACTTTCTGTTGTGATATGTATATATTTTTTTACTTTTAATAATAATTAGCAAACGATTACATTTTATTACTTGTTTCTTATGATATGCAACCCACAATACACATCACTTAACCTTTTTATAATGTAGGCAACTTTTGTTTGTGAGTGGCGCGCAGCAGCTTGCGTATAACTTAACCTGTAATATAAGTTATGCAACCCAAAATGCTTAGTTGTTTGGGGTGTATGGAATGTAGATGGCGTGTGGTGTGCGTGGCGGTGGCGCGCTGCCCCCGCTCGGCGCCTGCTCGCCGTCGGCGCAATCAATACGCGGCGGCCGTGACGTCGAGCGGAGTACGCGCGCGGATTGGCCGCTCGCAATCTCATCCCATAATTTATTAAGTCCCGTATGAATGGATAATAGCAAACTGTGATATTTGGCCGGATCGGTGGACCACCGTCGTCGCGATCGCCAAAGACGCTGCGTTCGCCCGCGCCGCGCAACAACCGCCGCTTTCCGCGATAAACAATCCGCGCTGGTGGCGGCCGTGGAGGAAGGCGCCGCCGTGGCAAGCGGAGGGCAGTGAGCAGGGGCGACGGGCAGCCCCGCCGAGTGTGCGACGTGTGTCTGTGCTGCGCGCTGATATCACACATCCCGAGGAGAGATAATACGCGGTGTCCTCAACCAAACAAAAAAAAAACACGCAGCAGCAGCGAGGAGAAACGTGGGTGGCTCGGTGCGGGAATGGGATTAATACGCGTGTGGGCCTCGCTCGCGGGTGTGGAAATGTTGCGCTGCGAGTAAAAATTCAGTTCCTACGGCCGCACCGAAGCAAGAGAGGCATGGTGGTGAAATGACTGCGGCGGTGTGGTGGTTTTTCTAGCGCTCTAGGAACTAGTGAATTTCGATTGTGGCCCCGCTGCCGAGCAACCAGCAGCTGCGTGCTGGCACCATGATGGACGAAGGCCCCGACCTGTCACATCTCACCGCCGAGGAGCGGGCCATCATCGAGGGAGTGATGATGCGGCAGAAACAGGAGGAGGAGCGCGAGCAAGAAATCATGAGGTCAGCCACCAACAAAATACTACCAACACCACACAACCAACCGAAACAAAAACAAAAAACAAAAAAATACAACCAACCAACACCAACTGACTTATGTTAATTTGACTGAGACGAGAACTATTACTATATATTTACCCTCCGAGGACAATAAAAACTTAAAACGTACCCTGATTGATCAATTTTCCTTCGACTCACTCACGTTCACAAACATACACACAACACAAACACCCCAATCATATATATTATATCAATATATAATAATATACAACATATTGTGCATATTGGGTTGCATATATTACCATCGGATATATTTAACCGCACTCATACTTTCGAGGTTATACAAGTTAATAAAGCGTAATATATCAACGGGATAGTTTGCTTTTTGGAAATGCGCGTCACGAAAAGTGCAAAAAGGAACGATTTGTCTTGTAAATGTAATAAATTTAAAAGCATCTGGTCACGTATAGCCGCGGCAGGATACGCTGGATCTTAAGGCACGGCCGAAACGTGCTCGCTCAGCGCGAATACGAAAAACGTTCGCGGCGACTTATTTTTGTTGTCACTTGACTTAATCTAAGATTTAGCGTGAGATATTTATGCGCCTGCTTGTTATTCATACGCCACGCCGTTCAATATATTGTGCAATCATACAGTAGCGGGGAAATCACACGTTTCTTTACTCTCGCACACAGGAGGAAAGCCGACGAGGTGCAGATACTGGAGGATACGATACGCGCTCGCAACGAACAACACAAGAAAGCCGGCGTCGAGCTGGACGCCACATGTCACATTTGCCTTAAAACCAAGTTCGCCGACGGCGTCGGCCACTTGTGCAACTATTGCTCGATACGATGCTGTGCACGATGCGGCGGCAAAGTAACGCTCCGGTCGAACAAGGTGAGTGTTGTGTGTGTGTTATTTGATGGTAGATTAGCAGCGCAAACAAGAGATGGCTCTATAATGACGTTTAACTTGTCGTTGCGCCATTGTGCAACCCACGCCGGCTGCGGGGAAAACGTTAATAATGTAATCTGCGTGTGTGCAGCATGCGCGCCGTTTTGCGTTTTATGATGTTATGTACCTAGTGTAGCCGCACATCCCATTGACGGATATCGTGGCCGGGCGACCCGGGCGCGTGGGCGCTGACGTCACCGGACGTGACGCGTTGTATTGATTCCCCCGCTCCTCCGACGCGCCGAGTGCGATCGAGATGGCGAGTCACGCGACTGCCACCACTACCAACACCCGGCGCCTCCACCACAACTCTTCGACGCGCAAAGACGCATTACGGAAGGACATCAGCTGCTCGCAAACGGCAATTCGAAATGATTCACATTACCGGCACACGAGGTGGTGGTGGTTTTTTTCGTTGTTGTTGCGTGACACGACGACACGCTGCAAATTGTGTCAAAGTAATTACCGACACACGAACACACTAATGAAAGCAAAAAAAAAGGGCGGACGCGGACACTACGACAACATTGCACCTACAAAACACAACAAACTTGTGTTGTGTGTGGTTTAGGCGGACGATGCTATTTTTAGTGGTTAAAAATATAAAACTAGGACGTTTTTGATCCAAATCGCACACACCATATGTGCTCGAACTTTTATATTAAAGCTTGCCCACGCACAGGTGGTGTGGGTGTGCATCCTGTGCCGTAAGAAACAGGAGCTGCTCAGTAAGACCGGCCAATGGATGGTCACCACGCAGGGTCTGGACAGCGACATCCCCAGCCTGCAGCAGGCGCCCTCCGATAAGCGACCGAAACTGGAACGAGCGCATTCCGCCGCCGAGAAGGAAAATCTACCGCTGCAACGCGCCGGCAGCGTGCTACGCCGGCAGTACTCGGAGCAGGAACCGCGCGTGCCCTCGTGCGAGCGCTACAATCAGCAGGTGTACAACGAGGAGGACCCACGCTTCTATCAAGGGGAATTAGAGGGTCTCATGCGTACGCATCCACATCTTGTTCCACGCAGGTAATGCAACCACACATACAACGCGTGTATACTTGGTTGCCTATACTCAACATAACCGTATTTTGTTAATGATAGGTATCCAGACCAAGATACTGAACCAATGGATATGCAACAACGCATGTCGAGCACGTCAAGCGCCAACAAGAAGCACAAACGCAGCGGGTCAAGTAAAAAGCTCCACCAGCCTCAACTACAGCGATCTTATTCCTCGTCCGAAGAGGATTTGAAATCTACACCGGATTATGGCAGCGATGAACGCGACAGTGAAAAAGGTAGGTTATGTTTTCATTTATATACAAATAAATATAATTTATAAACAATTTCAACCACCAATACACATCAATCCGTGCCCGTAAACAGGCCGAGAGTTTTTTTAAGGGATAAGTATATGACGATAAAAGTTGTTGCTCCCATTTTGTGATTAATCGTGAAAGTGAGACCGTGAGAGACCACAGGCGTTTCATACATGTTGCCATATTATTACAGGATCAGGGTGTCGCGAACGAGACGCGATTATGTCGGATAGATTGAGTCGGCAGGCGATTCTCGATGAGAAAATCAAAAAGTTTCTGGCGGTGAGGATCTCAGCCATCAATATATCAATATAATATGTGCAAGCTATTCTTTAACTGCATATAAACCTATGCAATATTCCAACAATATAATATAGGCAACCAAGTATACATGTTTTTAAAAGTGTCAAATGTCATTTTATATTATTTAGTGAATTTTTGGAATATTGCGTATGTTTACAATTTGTGTATTATAAATACTGTCGATTGATTGACTTCTGATTTGATTGATGGTCTCCTATTATGATTGACGATCTGAACACTTGTACTCTTTTAACTGTTGGCTTCGTTATGATCTATATATACATATGCGTAATGTGCGTTGTTGAGACGAAAGTGATACCACACAAACACACATCAACATATTATTTCTACCTACTGCGCCGTCGCATACGTGTTGTTTGATGAAATATGGACTCTCTGCATGTTGGTTTAATTTTTGTTTTACTTTTGACTCGTTGACTGTGTTTTCTTTCTCTAATTGGTTTTGTTGGGCGAACACGCAGCTTGCGCACAGAAAACTAAAAAAACCAGTACGTGTGTTGGGAATTTCATAATTTCGTAACGGAATTAGCCGAATCGAAGCCGGATCACGCGGGGCACGCGACACAAATTTCCAACAACATAACAAACACATTCGGGGGGCGTAAGTATGCAGAGCGATATACAAACACGCGCGGTGGTTGCTGCTGCAGGAGGCGGCGATGACGACTGGATGTACATTGTGGCACCGCGCCCGTTGCAAGATGTGACCGCCGACAATCGATGCTTCACCGAGCGAAGAAAGAAGACGGTGCGGTTTGATCATCAAGCATGGGACCGGCAAGGATCACAGGATTCGCATCGTGATTCCGGAATCGACACATCGTCAACGTTTACATCCAGTGAAGATTCCACCACACGTGGAGACTTGCCCAAGGTGCTTATCACGTGCAAAACTACAAACCTACACACATAAAACTTCAAAAAATGATTTGTTTCTCAATTAGTGAATAAAATATTATTTAGATATAGATTTAGTGCCGTAGACCCATGTAGTTAGAGAGTAGTGTACCGTAAAATCAATTCAATTCAGTATTATTAGCAATTCGATTACGATTGCCCCGGTTCTGTCACAATTGTCACACATTGCAACAATGCACGTCCGCGCGGACGCAAACCTCGGAAGTGTCGCTGTCGCGGCATGAATTCCGGTGACGCATATCACAGATATGCACACATTGATTACACACAAACACTTAACACACTCATTCGAGACGTTGAATAAAATACGTCACACACAAAAACAAAATGGCCGTATATACAAAGCGTGTAATCTTGGTTGCATACATCTTAAACTTGGTTATCGTTATTATTAACGTATTGCATGAATAAATGTAAAAAATGTAACTGCACTGTGCATGGCTTATACTTATATTCACACAGACACTTTTTGTTGCATGTGGAATGTTTTGCTGTAAATAGAAAAACTCACATTCTTAGTGTTTTAGTTTGGTAATCTTTGACACCGAGTCGTTGATGTTTGGTTTGTTCTCTTTTTTCTCTCTATGTGCCCGCGTGTGCCCACACCCTCTCAATAATCACCACCACCACGGCAATAGCACCCGCTCACCTGGCAGGTGTCCGCCGATGGCAGCCGCATGATCGGCCATATGATTTTACGCCGCGGAGCGCAACATACCACCGGCAACAGTGCCGCCATCTTGGGGTTAAAAGTCGTCGGCGGAAAGGCTTTAGAAAGTGGTCTGCGAGGCGCCGTCATTGATAAGGTGAAAAAGGGCAGCATCGCCGACCTTGAAGGACAATTACGACCAGGTATTTATCCCAAAACAAAATTCTGGTGTTTTATTAAAACACAGAATTTTATTTTTTCTCTTTTTAAATTAAAAGCACTGTTAATGCACTGTTAATACCACCAAATAGTATTAGGTTATGTTAGGTTATGTTTATTATTTTATTTTGTTTTGAAAAATAAAATAAATTACGAAACGCGTACACACGACCGAAACATTTCAGGCGACGAGGTGATAGAATGGAACGGCAGATCATTGCAGGACAAATCGTATCAGGAAGTATCGGATATAATCGCGGAGAGCAAGCAGGAGGCGAACGTGGAGCTGATTGTCTCGAGAAGCATGGGGAGTCGGCGTGCGGCGCAAGCAACATGGCGGCAATCGGTCGCGCACAGAGGTATAACACAAACATCCCGCCAAAAATACAAAAAAACACACACTAACCATTAATTACTGCACACATCTACACAAATGCACACAAAAATACAACACTTTACATAAAAATTATAAAAATATTAAAAAACGCACTGTATATGTACAAATATTCAAAAATAACCTCAAAAATATCAATAAAGGGTAGCGTGTGTGTTTGTATGTGTGTGTGACTGTATAAAATTAACAACAAATCGAAAATATTTGATATTCTGGGAGCAACAACTGTGTTTTATGTTGTGACAGCGTTTTTTCTCGTAAATTAATGGTTGGTGCACACAAAAATCTCTCTCTCCGTAAAACAGGCGTAAATTGTATGGAATCAACCACATAACCTCGCTGAATTTTGTTCAAGGTCAAGGTCAAGTGCAATGGGATCACGAAAACTATGACCGTCCGCACGTGCTGGTAACATCTCCGGGTAGCCCCGACCGACCCCGTCCGGCACCCTCGTTGACATCGAGTGTCGGCGGGCGAATTCAGGTGCGGTTGAGTTTCGACCCGGCAACACTGCAATTGATGGTGACCATTTTATGCGCGGCTGGATTAACACCTCGATCACCCCATCAGCCACGTAATCCTTACTGCAAGTTGTTTTTACTACCGGATAGATCGGAGAAGAGTAAGCGAAGGACGCGTACGCTTGCTGGTACCACAGACCCGATGTGGAATCAGATGTTTGTTTATCCCGGACTGAGACGAGCGGATTTGAGATTGCGCGCGTTGGAGATTACTGTTTGGGATTATGTGCGATATGGTGCGAATGATTTCCTGGGTGAGAGTATAATAGAGCTGTGGCCTTTGGAGGAGCAACCCACCTGGCGGACGCTAGGCCCGCATGAGGATATTGCTCTCACACCTAGTGAGCATCTCTCGCCGCCCAGTACGGGTTCGAGGTAAATGGTGGCTTGTGATACATGCTTGCGATTGTTTTTTTAAATTTTCTAGAAAGTTTTTGGGAAATACCGGTATTTTTGTCAAATACCGGTTTTGTGAGTACCGGTATAATTAAAAAAAACCTGTATCAATATCGGTATACCGATATTTTTTCTTAAATAAAAATATCAATATCGGTATACCGGTATTTTTGTCAAATACCGGTTTTGTGAATACCGGTTTTTTTTATAAACCGGTATCAATAACAGTATACCATTTTTTTTTCTTAATTAAAAATATCAATATCGGTATACCGGTATTTTTTTCAAATACCGGTTTTGCAAATACCAGTATTTTTAAATACCGATATTTTTACATTCTAGAAAATTTAAGAAAAGAATAACATTTCCGCTTTGAGCTTTGGCTTTACTTTCAGACGACCGTACGAACTTCCGTTTGTTTTGATTGTGTGTTTTCCCCCTTTTGATTGTTTTATAGTAATAATTGTGTGCTCAGATACTCGGACTCGGACACTCCGTCCGAGTGCGAGATCGACGGCGGCCGCGAGCGTAGAGGCGCCGACGGCGCAAGCGTCTCCAGCGTGGGCAGCTCCACCAGCCCGCCGCGCGACAGCGAACGACGATCACGGCGTGATCATCAGGATCACATCTATCAAGGATACAATAATCACCAGTCAAACAGTAGTTATCGACGGGTAAGTCACCAATAAAAATCTAGCCCTGTAAAAGTTTGTTTGTGCCTTGATAACTCAAAAATCCTTTGATAAATTTTGATAAAACTTTGGAATTTTATAGATTATACATTAGAATAGAATATAGGCTATTTTTTGTTATGAAAATTAAATTAAAAATGAGTAAAATCAGTAATTAATACTTAAATTCGTATATCTTAGACATAAATGCATAATAACGCATTTTAGCGCCACCTGGTGGTGAATTATAGAACTATAAATATGACTACATGTACATACCAAGTTTAAACCCTTATTTTGCACCCTTACCGTTAAATTTATGCGACAAAAAGTAGTCTATATTATTTTCCACATTTTAAACTATTTTTACACCAAATTTTATCAAAATAGCTTGAGTAGTTTCTCCGTGAAAGCGTCACAAACAAACTCCCATTTGCATTTATAATAACACTTACGATGTTGAAACAATACGATTACAATTAGTTGGTCTACTTCTAATAAAAATCTCCGCAGACAAAAACGAGCCTAGTATGTAACCGGAAGTCGCGCCATAATTCACAAAGTTTTGCGGGCGGAATATTGCGTTTTATGTCAGCGTGCGCGCTGACGTGTTCGGATATCTGGATTAAAGGCCGTGTGCAGGAAGAAGCCGAATTTTGGACATGTTCCAAAATGTTATTGATTAAGGACCATGAATGAGGCGCGCGGAGTTTTTGCTCGCTGGCTGGTCTCTTGGCTGGCGGTAGTGTTTACAATGCGGATTTGTAATACGCAACGAATCTTAGAAAACCGCCCCCCTGTATTACGCGTTCGGTATGTGGCTGCGGACTTGTGCTTTTTTTCTCCGCTTGCCGCTATTCTCGGGGCATTTTGGCACGAGTGGCGTATCAAACGGCGCCAGTGAAATCAGAACGCGAGTCGCGAGTGTGTCCGAGGGTGTTAATATCGCGGCGCAACTTTTACCTCTCAACCTTTTAATAGACTATAATTTTCTTACCCACACACATACACACATTGAAACACACACACGTAGAGTGGGGGGCAGTGAAATCGTATAAAAGTCCTTGGTGTGCAATCGCATGCGGATTTAATCGAAAGTTAATTATACTCTAACCTGTGTATAAGCTGTGTTGTGTTGTGTGTGTTGTATACGTTCGTGGTTTTGATGCACTTTTTTCCCCTCGTCACGATAGAGCAATATGGCGGGTCAAAGGTCGCATTCGGCGGCGCCGTGCGAATCGCCGAGCGTGCACATGTCGCGCTCGCGCTCCAAGTCGCCGCGGCGCGCCACCACCGACCACCACCGCTCACTGTCGCCGCCCGACGGCCGCCTCCTCGACTACAACCAGCAGCCGAACAACAACTACGCCGTAACGAGCAGCCGCTTCCAGTCGCGCTCCGCGACAGCCACACCGACCGGCTCGCCGAAGAAACGGCAACTGCCTCAAGTGCCACACCTTGCACGCGCGCTCCAGGAGCGCGTCGCTCAGGACCTCGAGGAGCGCTCCACGCGCTACAAAATGAGGCAAGTAGCAACCACAAGTTACCACGTGACGTCATCAACACACAAATCGCTAAAACGTCTAAACCCGTATTTACAGGTATACACAATATCGCAGTACTGGTTCGGGTTGGGAGCGTCGATATAGCGGATTGAGCGATTCGGATCTCACGACGCACACACGAACAAGACGATCGCTTTCACCCGATCGTGATAGAGATCCCCTGGTCGATTTTGACAGCGATATGGAATCAGTCGCATCGGTAACAAGCAGTGCGTTCTCCACTCAATCGGAACGACCACGAGGATCCAGAGTCATCAGGTAACCTAAAAACAATAAAAATTAACTTTCACGTTTTTAAAAATAAATTTTTTCAAGTGAAATTTATGCAAACCGTAAATTTGCTTCGGCGCAAAAACGCGTGCTTGAACAATTGCGTGACCAACGCGAGAAATCCTTATGGTCCTCACCAGTGCTTCAAACCTTACTCAATAATTACACGAATTATAATCATAATGACATTGAATCACCGCTAGATGCCAGTAGTAATGCTAAATTATCCTTCCCCAGCACTGAATACACAACTGGCAGCGGCAGCGACCGTTATCCTTACGGCAGCCATCGAACAACAACATCACGACGCATGCGTCACGAGATGGACCACGAGCAGAATCTCAGGGACCCGCTGGATGACGACCGGAGGAACCATCGACAACATCGTGAGGGTAGTGTGAAACGTGGTCAGTTTACACGCAGTTTATCGAATAATGAAGCTCCTACTGAAGAAAAGAACGGTATTATTTATGATTGTACAATAATATTGCGCAATATTTTAAACTTTTACCTTTTTAGATGGAAGTTTAAGTGATACTGCGGTAGGACAAGTTGGGGGATTAGAAGTGCCACAAAAGGATATCATCCGTAAGGATACGATACGCAGGGACCCACAGGCGCAGTTTGTGGGTCTCGGCAAGAAGAGTAACTCCACTAGTCAACTGTCAGCCACAGGTATGTGTCATATATCTCCTAACCTATAAAACTAAAAACATAGAAACTTTTCTCTCTTTCAAAACGTATAAAACTCTCACTCGCTGTTTTAATTTGTTTCTAATTGACTTAACTTGAGACTAGTTTACTCGATGTTTAAGTGTATATTCATTCAGGAGACCGTAGTTAGCTGTCATTTTGCCTTGACCTTCCGCCAAGGTCAAAGATGATTGTTGTGTTTCTTTGTGTTTTAGTTGGAAACTGTTTATAATTTTAAGCGATGATGATTTAAACGATTTTTATGCGACTTGTGCGTGTGTGTGTGTCTCTCTTCCCGAGCGCAGGACGAAAACGCAGGATGGGGTTCGGTCGCAGAGGGAAAACGTCGTTTACGGTCCACAGATCCGAGGAGGTATTGCCCGGCGACGTGCGCCTGCTATCCAAGCAGGGCTCGTCGGCGTCCAGCGATGGCGACCTGTCGGCGGACGGTGATAGGTTCGCAATTTTTAAACACCACCAAAACAAAAACTATGAAAAAAAAACAGAAAAAAATAAATTTAGATGATTAGATGCATAGAATACAATTAGAACACACTCTACACCCAAGAGGAGGAATTTACAGAGTTGGGTACATAGAGAGACCGCCCTCCAGAGTCTACAGATTCAAAACTAACCTCAAAATTGAACAAGTTATACACGAAACAAACATTTACATACCCGTAACCAGCTGTGTTATATATTTTTTATTCTTTGTCTGAAGTTTTTGTAATGTTTTCTTTGAGGGTAGACACGTTTTGTTGAAATTTATGATTTCTATAGAATAGTAGCGTAGGTAGAGTTCGGTTTCCGACAGCGGAAGTGTAGTATATATTCAGAGGTTATGTTATCATAACTCAACGCGATGTGCTTGTACATTATATTGATGAAACGTAGTGTGCGATTGATGCGTTCTGATCATGACGTTTTTTTGGACTCTAGACTTCAACAATTGTTGTATTTTTGCAAATCACCATAGTCGGTAACTTTAGATTATTTACTGCTTGCTTAATGCCGCTCTGTCTTACTCCTCTTCTTCTCTTTCTACTGTTTTACTACTGTATTATTCATCTAGCAATCAAAGATGGCGTCCAGATTACCTCTCAACATGTAATGTTCTGTGTGTGTGTGTTTGATTGAATGTGTGATGTGTGTGGGTTTTGGGTGTGTGTGTGTTGTGGTCTAACACCCACGATCGTCTTTTTTGTGTGGCCGCAGACAACACGCTGAGCGCGACGATGATGCCAGGCGGCAACCGGAAGCGTGTGCCGAGCATTCAGCGATCGCAGGAGGTTGTGCCGCCGCGGTGCGCGCCCACCGCCGACGGCAGCCAGCGGGCGGCGAGTCTCAATTCCATTTCCAGCTCGGAGGGATCGTCGTAAGTACACACCACCAACAACAACATCAACAACAACCAAACTACAACCACCACGTTGTACTATTTTAAATTTGCAGGATGGTTTCAATCATATTGTGCAATCATTCGAGATTTAGAAAACCATTCTGCATATGTACATATATATCTCAATCACTTCTTTACTTCTTGTTTTGTTTTCTGTTGGGTTTGTGTTGTAACCGCACTCCTGGCATGCCAATCCAATTCTTTTTCAAAACTCTCTCTCACAATATACTAAATGGCGCTGTACGGTATGTATGTAGCGTGTGTAGTGTATGAATTCGAACCTAGAAAACACTTTCAATGCATGCGTGCCTTTCGCTAAGCTACCTTTTGCTAGAGATACTTTTAAGTGCCTTACGCATGTTACTTTTAAGCACTCAAGTCACATAACCTCACTGACTCTCTCACCCAGATTGGACCTTACTTTAATATTTAATATATTGAATTATATCGAATTTGTATACCTCTCATCTTCAATCTTGATTGACACATGTGTGTTTTAACAAAACCAGATTAATTTGTGAAGATATCGATATGACAAAACTCTTTCTCTCTCTATGTACATTTCTGTGTATGTTCCACAAGCTCAACTGGATTGCTTCTATATTTTACTCGTACAAACATCAAATACTTTAATTTACTGCCTGTAGATGGCTCTGCTGTACTTAAATATAGTTTACTTATGTTTATTTTATGTCCAGGTGGTCGCCTTCATTGCGTTTAACCACAGATGGTGGTCAACTAGCGGAATTCATCGATGGGTTAGGCCCTGGGCAACTGGTGGGCCGGCAAGTGTTAGGGGCGCCTGCGCTGGGTGATATCCAATTATCCCTTTGCTATCAAAAGGGTTTCTTGGAGGTGGAAGTGATTCGGGCGCGTGGGCTACAATCCAGAGCTGGATCTAAAGTATTACCTGGTAAGTAGACTATTATTGAATGATTGTACAATATTATTGATGTAATTATTATGTTGTAGCTCCCTATGTGAAGGTTTATCTTGTGAGTGGGAAGAAATGTATTGCAAAGGCGAAAACGTCCACGGCGCGAAGAACTCTGGATCCTTTATATCAACAACAGTTAGCGTTTAGAGAACCATTTCAAGGCTGTGTTCTTCAGGTATGTGTATATAACAAAAATAGTTTAATATTTCTACACCAGATGGCGTTGTAGGTACTAAATTTGCAAATGTTTGTTTTAGGTGACCGTTTGGGGCGATTACGGTCGCATCGAAGGCAAAAAAGTGTTCATGGGTGTGGCCCAAATAATGTTAGACGATCTAAATTTAAGCAACATCGTCATAGGCTGGTACAAATTGTTCGGCACCACGTCCCTGGTTAGTGGTACCTCTTCACTCGGTCTCTCTCGCAGAAGTTCGATGGCTAGCCTAGATTCTTTGAAACTCTAAAACCTTAAATCGATGAGAAAACAACATAACCTTAAACTTTAAACTCGCATAAACGAAATAGTTTCTAGTAAAAAAAGTCGTTAATTTTTCGAAATTCTAACCTAGTTTGTAGCTAGATCTTGTTTCATCTGCATTAATCATATCTATTTAATTTAGCCACATTGAATTCTAGTGGAATCGTATGTAAAATTGTATATAATTGCTATTTCTTCCAATCTTTCCAAACTTTCGATACCATACCGGACAAACAAATTCTTAGCCAATTGATATAGCCATACTAAATTGATCATGTACACGAACGATACGATATGAAACGAACAAATAGGTACGCTCTTGTTCAGAGATATCGCTTTTCTACGTTCTATTACAATTTATTTCCGTTTTTAACTCTTTCTCTCTCTTTATCTTAATCTTTATCTTTATATTTCTTGCTATTTTCTCACTTGATGACTATCGTCTTACGTTACGTCTGCGTCTACGTCTCGTTTGTTTTTAATTTTCTGCAAACATGTGTTCCAGGGCAAACACTGACAACTAAATACCACGGACGGTCATTATTTGCGTATCACGTAAAAGTTGCCATATTGGTGAGCGTTTCTTCTGGAACCAACTGTGATTGCTACCAAACAAAACAAATCATTAATTATTGACTGAAAATTAATGTTTTATTTGGTAGCAAACGCACAATATGTGTTTATCTGTATCTGTCTTATGTTTTATGTTGATTTGTTTGCATTATTTCTTCTCAAAGTTTGTTTCGGTTGTTATATTGTGTCACCTTGAATGTCGCTTTTCGGTGTTTGACAGTATCTCCAAAAAGAGCTTAATGGATACGCGTTAATCATAAAATAATACCAAAATCAACCTGCATGTACCGTATTCATGCATTGCATGTCAACAAAATGGCCGCCGGTGGGTTATTCAACATCCTGGTGATGTTTGGTTAGCCTACCTTTAACATAACCTGTTATGTTATAATCCTGCTTTGCAATGAAACCATCTATGTTTCTTAGTGTTATTTATTTGTGGTGTGTTAAAAATGTGAATTAATTAACTCTGTATACGTTTTAGTGAACCCTGATGGGCGCTGGGCCCGTGCTGTTGATGTTGATGTTGTTTGTATAAATCAAGTCGGACGAAATAAGTAACTGGATGCTGAGGAACGACGCCATGCGCGCGCTGCAGTTGCCAAAGTGAGGCCGCCAGATGGCGGCACGCACGACGAAACAATGATTATACGACCCGGCACGCAAAAACACAGACGAAATATTGTATAAAGGCTCTTAACGAAAACTATTCATCATGCATAATACGAATAATATTTGCAGAAGCAACACACAACACACACATAAACACATAAACACACACGTAACGTAATTGTAAAACCGAAACATGAAAAAGTAACCTATATAGTTGATAAAAAAAAAAGTTCGTTGATACACACATCTACTTAAAATGGGGTAATAACGCGTTTGCTTGGACATTTTTCTATTTTGTGACGAACGAAACAACAAGATACATGGCTTTAAAACTTTAATAAGATACACATAAAGTAACCACACTAAAAACGGACGTGCGAACATACGATAAATTGTATAAAAGATGAAAAAAACTATATATTAAGAATAACTATTATGCTTATTGATTAATGATATGAGATATGAGATATGAGATGAACATTATTACCAAATAAGTAAAAAACCAAAGACATCGTTCGAAAATTCCATATGTATTGAGAGAAAATCGTTTCCGTAAACTTAAAGAACGCGTATTAAACTATTAAATTCATCAAATCGGTCCAATTATTTAAAAAACAATTTCAAGCGTTTTGTGCAAGCATAAAAACCACGAGAAACGTACCAATTCAGTATTACTTTTCGGTTCCTTTTCATAACCATAAATGAATTTTAAAGAAATGAGAAAAAAGCGTGGAAAATATCGAGTTACATCAAAATTTCACAAAAGAATGAAGTAAAATTGAAAAAAAAAACGTGTTGAAAATATAAAAGAGCTATAAATTATATACCTAATTACATATTTAAAGATATATAAGAAACTATGCTTAATTGGAATTGAAAAATACCGCTTTTTTACTATTGTACGACGATATAAATAACTAAGATCTACGAATGCATACAATGATCCATGATTCTATGCGAGTGAATGATTACTTACATACATTACGTTGTTATTGACACACGGGGGCGGGGAACTTGATAGACTTGACGTGGCGGGACTATTTCGTTGGTTTTCTGGTTGTAAACATGAGAGAAAAATAAACAAAAACATAAATAGAGCATTTTTGACGAAAAACAATTTAAAAATCAGTTAAATTTCAATTTACTACAAAAAAGGTTAGAATTTGATTGATAAAATGATTGTACAATCTTTCAATATGCTTGACAAGCATTATTTGATTGATAAATGTAATTTTATTGTAAAAATCATAATTTCACAATGAAAATTATTAAGAAATTAAAATTTGATTGAAAAAATGATTGTACAATCCATAAAAATGATGGTCAATCATTTTTTTAACTGAAATATTCCAAAATAATTAAATTCTAGCCTTTTTAGTATCATACACATTGTAAATATAAACATAACAAATTTTTCTTTGTTGTTGCGAGCTACATTAACGAATTTACCATCTTATCGGTTGAATTCCTGAATGTTGTGCAAATTACACGTACACACACAAACACTCTCATTGTTTTTGTTGTTATGACTGGTTACGTTCACAAATGGAGTCTGTATTAACGATTGAATAGAATATTTTTCTAAAAGCGAACTTGTTTTGTGGTGTTTTTTTTCGATTGGTTGCTGCTGCATGAGCTTTCGATGCCTTCCGCACCCCCCAGTACAATCAGGAACACTGCTTGTGATAATTATCTGCTTTGTGTTTTCGTTGGTGCGCATGCAGACGCAGAAAACATGCTATTTTCGTAAACACTAACTTAACTTAAAACCGGTTGAAATCAAATCGAGACTATTCAACGCGCTTGTTACATGTACAGAAGTATTATCTACGTATAGCTTACGAATGATTGGATGAGATTCACATTTGTAGTTTCGAACACATGATGATTCTGTTTATCAACGCGGTGAAATGCCTGGCGTATACTAATTTTTAAGCGTAAATGTGTAATTGCATATCATGGAAATATCAATGTCCAGCGTCCACATTTTCAAACATTACTGACTGATGTATCCAGTTGAGAGTCATGAGCAAATGAGTATTATGAAGTTTTTCTTTTGTGTTCACCAACACACACACCACCACATATGTAAATGATGTAAGAGATGTTAAAGAAACAAATGCAGCAGATGATGATGACGATGGTGCGAAAATGTTATCGCGGCGAATTATGCCAAAGAAAAAACAATGTCTCTAATATGATAAACAGGCGATATCTTTTTGAATACGAATGCATGATTTGAAATAAAAATGATTTAAATAAAAACTGGATATGACAATAAATCATTACCGATTAAATACAATGAGTTTTACTTTCTTACCTTGTAACTAAAGCTGAAAACACACAAAACTTGTTTAAATTTTAAATTATAACGGGTTTTAACCTCTGAAAACACATTTTATGCTACACCTACCGCCGCCTTGCGTGTAAACTAAGAAATACTTCAGTGTAACTTACTTGGTTGCCTACAACAAAAATATTTACATTCTACCGACACATTATCTGTTATTTTCTTACTTTGTAGCTAAAAACAGCTGAAAAATACTAAAAATCTTTTAATTTTTAATGTTTTTAATGTAATTTTAATTGTTTTATGTAATTTTTTTGTTTTAACTTGTTAAAAATCACATTTATTAGTGTCAAATGAAGTTTATACTGCGCCACCTTGTGTGTAACACAAGTAATACTATTATATAACTTTTCCGCTTAGTTGGTTGCCTACAATAAAAATATAGACATTCTAAATTTACTTTCTTATTAAATAAACACACTTAATAAAATTAAAATTCTAATATTTTATATGCGTTATCAGCATAGAATTCATGCGAATCGATCGATTATCACGATCAACCTGATAAGCGTTATCACAACAACATAAAAATCACACAATAACTATTAATCACCGGCTATAAATGTACAGTAATTCATAAACAAAATATTGTAACAAAGAAAAATACGATATTTACAGATAAAACTGATATTTGCCAGCTGATAAGCATTAAACAAAGTGCGATCACTCATGATCTACGAAAAAATACAAATTATCTTTGTTTATTTTAAATTAAGAGGCAATTTAAGGATATAGCATTGCTGAAATAAATAATTTCAAGTAGCAGTTAAACTGTAAGTGATTAAATTCAGGTATAAATGAATAATCGTTAACGGATGCGAAAATATTGTGCACAATGGCTTAAATTTTATGATCAAAACGATAAGGATTAACAAATGTTGAAATCTATCGTCATTTTATTTATTTTATAATTATATGGTCGTTAACTTGTCATAAACTGCCGTTTAGAAGTCGTTTATTATGCATTAGAAGTGAAATACACAAATGAAATTGAATGGAGTTGTTGTGTATGAAGTGTTGCCTATGTTAAAGTTAAATCTGCAAGAATAAAACTAAAATTAATGCGTTTTAAGCAAAATAAATAACAAAACGAGGATATTAGCAAGTATGAGACATTGCCATCTGCATTTATTGCGCACTTGAAACATTAATGCACATTTTTGTGCCGCTGGTTATCTGATAACGAAAATATTGCACTCGTAATCTGTATTCGCGTCGGGCTAGACAAAAGGACTACTCATGTTCGCATGGTTACTAATGAGGTACAAAGTTCGCTAATTGTGTTATCGCCAAGCGCACAAATTGCACACGTGCACAAACTATTGCTGTGCACACCGAAAAATGCAAAACTAAACGTCTACTTATGCGAAAAATGAAAATCTACCAAATGAAAGCATTTTTTGCGTGCGCATGTATAACTGGTTGCCTGGTTACCATAGCAACGCATCAATATAGATCAATCGATACAGTTTTTTTGTTTTTCCGCGGCGAAGGTTACCATTGAATGCGCAATTAGCATTTGAGAATAGAATGCAATTACGCAGAGATAATGCAATAGATAAACGATTTGAATGCCGTCCTTTGTTGTGCATATTTCGCAAGAGTCATATACCGGCTGTGCAGTCTTGCAGTGCGTCCGAAGTGAAATGAATCAGAATCCAGGCCGATTCAGGGTCTCCCGCACCGGCCGGCCGGCTCGCGTTCGAATCTACCGTTGTGTTGGTTGCGTGACGTCGCCGGCAAACAAAGGAATGTGTGCGGTGTGCGCGCGATGCGCGCTGCATTGGTGAGGTGAAGAAAGAGTCCGAGTCCGTGCGCCCGAATATAGAAATCGAGTGAGTTTCGTTTTGGATCGTGACCTTTTCGTCCCCCCACCAGCGATGTAAGCCGAGCGAACCAATCGGTGGATCTAGGTCAGAGCCGGGCGGACCAATCACACGACGAGGTTGCGTGTCACGTGGCTTTGTTGTTATCATCAGCTGTAGCCGGGCCGCTATGCGCGACCTCGCGTCCCTCGCGTCACACGCACTCACCTAACTTCTCTCACTCTGACTTATTGAAAATAATAAGATAGAAAGAGATGGTGTATTAGAGCGCAAGTTACCGCATCAGCTGTTCTCGTGTGCTCACACGCGCCGGCCGGCGCAACGCGCGCTCACTACTCACAACTCGAGCTCTTCAGTCTGTGAACGACCGCGCTCGTGATCGCACATTAAACCGTCAGCTCGCAAACGACGCGTTACATCACTGAAAAATCGCCACCGATTGTTATTATGAAGATTCATCGCTCCGCACCGCTAAATCATGTCGAATTGCGTGCTACGTGCGTTATAATAAAGTCTACGGACACATTGACAACGATTTAAAACAAAAACTTTTCCGTGTGCAAAGTGAATGTGTGTAAGTGGATTCTCGCCACTCGAATAAAAAAGAAATAAAAATTAAATTCATACATGGTTGTTGAATCGCCGCGAGCGAATAAACGTAAAATCTGCACGATGTCCACCGGAAAACGACTGGCGAAGCGCTCCATCATTGGGACGCGCGTGTGCGCGCCCGGCGACGATGGCAAATACTATTCGGGCGTCATCGCCGCCGTGAAGACGCCGGCGACCTTTCCGGAGAACAACAACTGCATCAACCTGACGCCGAACACGCGCTACTCCGTCCGTTTCGACGCGCGCCCCGGTTACGGTCGCACCACAGTCGAGTTCCTCGAAGGCGATCTCATCGGCCCCGGCTTTCGTTCGGTTGGTGGCCTGCATCTTCTTCCACTGCAGAAAGTTTTCGTCACGTACAAGGGCAGAGAAGTTACTGGGGAAGTACTCAAGCATACACCTGAAACCGACGAGGTTGCCATTCAAATCGCCACAGATGTAAGTAAAACTTTACGGATTTTTAAAAAAACAAAATTTGTTGCAAGTTTGTGACGTATGCGAACATGGCTGCGATTAAAGTTCAGGTTGTGAAGAAGATGCGAACCTGTCCGGCCGGCGCCGAGAGTGAAAGCATGATGCGAGTCAGACAAAGAACGCACTCAAACACTCAACACGCGCGCGGCGCGCTGTGCGCATGTACGGAACACTCGCAACTTTTGTCACACATTTTACACTCGCATCCCTACTACCGGTTGCTGTTGCTGGTGCAGCAGCAGCAGGAGCCGGCAGGCAGGCAGGCGTAATTGATATCCGCGCAAAACAGCAAACGAGCGTGTAATGACGTCACTCGGATAAACAACTGAAAACAATTGACTGCTCTTTCTAGCAAACAGCTAATATATACATACGCGTGTATTTTGGGTTGCATATATACACAAAAAACACTAAATTATTAATAATTATTGTTATAATCATCCGATTTCAAAAATGTTTGTTTTAAAATATTTATGGTATTATTATACATGTTTCCTGAAAAATTTGTGGTTGTAGCATAATAAGTTTAAGAGATATTTACAAAAAATACATTTTAACGGTGTATTCTTTTATATTTTGCACTCTACAAGCAATAATTACACAATAAGAAGCCTTCGAAGGTGGATGCGCGACCGCCAGCGAACACCGTTACTTCGCGTGGCGTCGTTTTCGTCTTCGCCGCTTGCGTTATTCGTTTATTCATATTGGTATTTGTTTCGTGCGTGCCTCGCCTTGGCATCTTATTAAACTACATTACAAAGTACCGCTCTTTCGATTCGCGGCCGCACGTTTACAACCAACTCACAAAAAAAACCAACCAGCGAAATTCGGAAGCTCAAGGTCGCGAATACTTCACCAAGGCGTGGTGTTTGGTGCAAATAATATTTAATACTATTTACGCGTCGAAACAGAAGTGGAATGGATTATGCAAATCATGCAGATATAGTCCAACAGTAAGTAAGTGGCGAATTACGTCGTGCGCGCATGCGCACACCACGAATGGAACGGGTTTTGTAATATAGGTTACACACTTGACTGACGCCGTTCGTATACATTGGCTTATAATAATATCAAAATTTCACACTCGCATTTCGAACATTTTTACGTTATTATCGAAAATCGTTTTCTAACGGAGTAAAATGCCGCCGGGCATTGGGAAAATAAAGTGTTTTGCAACCAAACAGGTTCTCTACATCTACGACTATAATAATAATAAGATGTTAGACGCGCTGCTTTCTTTTTCGTTGCGCGCACATCTCGCATCCATTTGCCTACTTTTGCATAATTAACATTTAGATCTGTGAATGTGCGTATGAAACACCGAAAGTTTTCTGCGTGCATGAAATAAAATTTATTCTGTGAGAGGTTAATTTGTAATTAATCTAGATATATTCGAGGAGAATACAAGAAGTCTGTTTGTTTGTTGGCGTGTGGATATGTTATCTACATCTACATCTTGCGGTGTGTGCGGCGTGTTATTTTCCGGCTGGTACTACGTGTTTACAACTGAGTGCGCGCGCTTGGCTTAAGTATGTTATGCGCGCGCGCATAAATAATAACCACGCCGCGTCGAGGATTGCAAAGAAAGAATAACGGCACTGCCAGCAATTTAAACTCTACACTACTATAAATAAATAAATAAATATTATTCGTTTGTGGATTTATCTGACAGATTGTGGGGTTTTGCAAGTTGTAACGTCATTTATTAAAATTTATTTTTAATTTTTAAGATTTTTAATGTATTGTTTTATTAAGTGACTTAACTTAAGTTAAGTGATTTAACTTAAGTCACTTAACCTATATTTAATTTTTTATGTTTTTATTATGCACAGAAGTAATGAAAAATTACTATCGCTAGATTAAGTCAACTTTAAGTTATACTTATCAATCTGGGTAGATGTGGTGCGTGATAATCAAGAAACGTGACTATGATTAATACTTTGCTTTGTTTTTATATTACTTCTACTTATACTTCTACTACTACTAGTTCTACTTGGAGATATGTATGCATTATGTGCCTCTAAGGCATTGTTGTTTGTTGTTGTTTTTTTATGATGTTGAGTCGCTGTTGTTGCAACTGGTTGCCTTGTAACTATCGCTCACGTTTTATTGAGCGCGCGCAGCGAGTGTGTAGGAAACGGTAATTGTAATAGCGGGCTAGCAGCAGCAGCAGCAACACGGTGGTTTGTTTGCGAGAGATCTGGATTAATCGGTTAACGATTGAAAGCTATTATTTATGGCGCGTAAACAAAAACGAGCGCAAATACGAGCACACTCGCTTGGAGTGATAAAAATTGTGGGATTTTGTTGGGTTTCGTTTTTGTTTGTGTTTGTGTTTGATCAACTTTGCGCGTCGATTGCTTGGTTGTTTTAAATCACAAAGGGGTTAATGAGGCGATGTTTGATAGATAATTTAATAGGGAATATTTATGCAGGAGGATTATTTTGTGTGTTTGATGGAATTTGTTTAATTAGAGAAATAGTAAATCTTTGATAAGTGTAGGTGGTTTTTGTTTGTTGGTGTTTGATATACTTTGAGGTAGGATTACTCAGCTGTTTTAAGTCACAAAGGGTTGAGTCATATGTCATTTGATAGATAATTTAATTGGCAATTTGTGTGTAAAAGGACAATATTGTTGGTTAAATAGTTTTTTGTTTAATTGAAGAAAAAGTGAGAGAGTCGAGATGTGTAGTTAGTTTTGTTTTGTATGACTTTGATTGACTTTGAAGATTGATTACTCAGTTAATTGATATGACACAATGTTCAGTAATATGCCATTTGATAGATAAATTAATAGGGAATGAGGGTGCAAAAGGGAAAAATTGTAAGTCTGGTGGTTTTTGTTTAATTTGAGAAATAGTAAAACTTTGATATTTTTGTTATTTTTTGTTTGTTTTTATTTAATCAACTTTAGGGTTAATTTACTCAGTTATTAAAAATCCGAAAGGGATGATTAATATGTCATTCGATTGACAATTTAATATGGAATAAGTGTACAAAAAATAAATAATGTAGCATTTATAGTTTTTATTATATTTCAGAAAAACTAAACTCAACATTTTTAAATTCTGTAATTCATGAGTAATCTCTTGTAAAACATGTAAAAACATTCAAATTAGCCGAAATTATCGCATGTTTTCGATCAAATTCCAACCCAGCATTGAAAAATGATGAAAGTATACACAAACTCCTAGTCGTACCATCCAATTGAGTGTAATTTCACATCGGTTACGTGTTATGCACAGTGCATGTCTTCGCCAATCAAGTCTTGCGCGCCAGATCCGCTAGCAAAGTACCTCTATGTTGATTGCAACATGCCGATGCATGCGAAATTACCCTCGCGAGACTTTCTAATGAAATGAAACATTTCCACACAAGTTGAATTGATAATAATCAACAATACAACACACACATCATTTTGTGGGCCAAGCGCACGGCCGTAAACACATCCCCCTAGACTCCAGAGTAAGTTTTTCGGTGAACCAAATTCATACTACATACCTCCTCTCACGGGTCGGGTCAACGCTGATGCCGTCCCCGGCCGCGCCGCGACAGAGAATTATGTGTGCAGTTGGAAATTGGAGCGCGCATTGGCCCAGATCGCCGGGCCGGGTTGCGCGTGCGACCTCATTCTCTATCGACCTGCGACCCACTTTCAGCGCCGGAGAGATCCATCGCGGTGGTGGCGGCGGAGGCGGCACGTGCATTCGACCCAAATTCAACACCGGAACAAACCAAATATATTCACACTCCCAGTGGGGAAACAAGAAACAAAACAGAAAATAAAAAAATAAAATCAAAATACGATGATATTAAATAACAATGTCAGCTGGAATTAATTCATTGTTGCCATCATCTTTTGTCGTTGACATAATTGACAGTCATTCTTTTGTGTACCAATTGAGTCATACTATACATATTTACAATGATACATAGTATGCAGTTGTAGAATGTGTTAAATTAAAATAGGTCGTGGAACTGTTGATAAAACAAAACAAAACGTAGTGGAGAGATGAACCGAAGAAGTTGTTGTCAGTGAGCGTAATTTTATTTGTGGAGTGAAACGCAGAAAGCGCAGCACTCGAGACGTGCGAGGTGTGTCCTAAAATCAGCAACGGGCAGCGCTTCCGGTGTTTAGGCTCGGGCTCAGCGCGTTTATTCTGCTTTCACGTTGGACAACTCAGACGAGAGACCCGCGGGGCTTAATGTTGGGTTAACTGTTTCTTTCAGTTGGATCGTTTAATGGTGCGTAATGATGTGCTTATTACGTTTCAATTATATTGTAGCTTTTAAAACCGGTATTTTTATTAATTTATGTTTGAAATGTTGAAATTTTGGAAAATTTGCGGTATTTTTTGGAAATTGTTATTTTTTAATACCGGTATTTTCATAAATTCACGTAAAATACCGGAATTTGAAAAAATTTCGTGCTAAAAATCGAAATTTTGATAAATTTTTATGTTTGAATACCGGTATTTTTTTAAATACATAAATAAACCGGTTTTTAACCGGTATTTTCATAAATTCTTCCTTAAAATACCGAAATATTAGTAAATTCTTTCCTTAAATACCAGAATTTTTATAATTTCTCATCTTTAAATACCGGTATTTATCTTATTTCCCTAAATACCGGTATTTTTAAAACCATTCAACATTCCTTTCTCTTCTCATTGCGTTGTCTGCGCAGAAAAAAAGGTCGAAGTGAAATTATACGTAATAACACAACACACTTGCCTCATCGCTTCGTTCTCCCATCGATATCGCACTTGTTTCATCATCGCCTTCACTAAAAGCTAGAGCAGCGTATTTGCGCGCTTGGAAGAAGCACAAATCAGTTTCTCTCGACATTGTGCGGCAAAGCGCCGAAACGCGAAGATTAAACTCTTGGTAAATGGCAGGCAGGCTGCAGCAGCAGCAGCAACAGCCGCCTCTGGCGAGGCAGCAGCGCGCGTTTGACCCACTT